AGACTTCTGAGAGTTAACCAAAGGTGGTATTAAACATTTTAAATATCTCAATGCCACTAGTTGGGATGGGAGAGTTTTTTTAAGAGTAAACAAATCTGCACCTGGGTTTTGGTAGTTGTCTTTTGAGTTATAAAACATCTTATGCATACACAGAAATAGGAAAGGAGGTCAATACACTAATTATATGATGAACTCCAGTATATTCTCACTCAGCTCTAGTTGAAAAAACAACTACTTTAAGCATGAAAAGCCTTTCAGTGTTCTGAAATGCAAGAATTTGACATATCCATATTTTAATTATTCTCTTACACTTCCTTTTAAGTTGTTGGGGTTTTTGAGAACAAAATATAGACTTATTTCATAGAACTGTTTCTCTTACTGCTTGAAATAAGTTTTATGATTCCAGGTTAGTAAATCCAGGCTGCTTGATACTTACTGGAAATTAATTTCATGAGGTGAAAAGCAAAATATTTTTCTTTACACACTCCAGGCTGATTTTTCTCTTTCCCATTAGAACATGCCAGAGATATGGAAAGGTTGAAAGCAATCTGTTTTATTACGTGGAACAGACCGAGCATAATGTGTGTTGGTGGTTTGTTTTTTCTGGATTTGTTGCTGTTAAAGTGTGTGTGTGAGGGCTGGATTTAATGATGAAAACATATCAGTTCTTTTCAGTTTTAACTCTCAATACCCTTGAAGTATTTCATTGTTTTGATTCTTAGCCTAAAAAACCCAAAACAAAACTGGTTGAACCTAAATTTGCTTGTTAGGAACTTCCAGATATATTGGGGATCTTGGTCCCTATGTGCACCCTAAAACCCTTGAAGTGAAGTGACTGTGAAATACCCTGTTAAGCTTAAGTATTTAAATTTTCTTTGATTGTTTTCCCTAAGAGTGTATATTTGTCATTTCCATGCATGCATCATTTGGAATAATTGTGGCTTATATGTGGTGTAAACATCATGCTGGAAACTTATCACAGATCCCACTGGTTTCCATCCCTGATGTCCTGCACTTTCCCCACTTGCTCTTCTTGTGCTCCTTTCAACTGCTCAGCTTTGTGAGTGGGTTGTTTGATATTCAGGCTACAAAACAGAATGACAGTAAAACAAAATATTACTTGAAGATTAAAGAGATAAATTCCACTCATATATTTCTCTCAGAGATATTAGTGAAGATGCAACAGTTGCAACTTTGTTTCTGTTACCTGAAGTTACTACTTTAAAAGTAGTATTTTAACAGTGGTGTTTTACAGTACTTTAATAGTAGTATGTTCTTTGATGAACTGAAAATGTTTGGGGTTTTCTTTACATATCTTTCCATCCTTTATATGTTTTTTGGCCGTGTTGTTGCCTGTAATCTGTGATTCCTTATACACTCACAGGTGTTGCATTTCTTGTGGAATAAGGTTTTTTTCCTTGATCAAATTCCAAGAAAATTTACAGTTCATTGTCTGTAGAGGATCCCTAATACACAGCTTATGTTAACAGACTTCCAGGGGTTACCTGTGTTCCTTTCAGATTTTTCCCCCTAGGTTAAATATAGTCTTCCTGTCATCTAGCATTTATTGGTTTGCCATGTACTATCTGTGGAGCCTATAAATTATGTTCGTAATAACCATGAAGAAAACCTGTTCCCTGAAAGCTGTTAATGTTCCTGGACTGGGATCTTGGAAGTACCCAAGTGTCTGTCAGCTCAGACATCAGAAATGTGCAGGCTTTACAGCCAGGTACCCGTTGATCCAATTTTTGAAAGGATGTTTATATTGTAACCTCAAAAATATTAAAGGTTGGAGGTCAATTCTGAAGGTTGGTGGAGAAGTGTTCTTGCTTTAAAAAATCATGGAGTTTGTGAACAAAAAAAACCCCTGAAGATGTATTGCTGAACAGGAACAAATTTACTTGCTCAATGTAGCTTTTTGTTGAGAGTATTTATTTCTGGCAGCAAGAGATGTGTTTGGAATGATGCAGTTGGGTCAGAAATTGACTTTCTCCAGTAAACATTTCAGTTTAGTGTAGCATATGGGTGTTTGCCAGAATGTTCTGATCAACAGGGAATATTTCCCTGGAAAATTCAGTGCTCTCTCTTCTGTATGTGCTCTGAAAGTGCTTGTTGTGAGTGCCATTCTAGTCAACTTGTTATTTTGAGCAGAACTGATGATCTCAATCTTCTTAATTACTGAAAAATAATCAGCTTTTTGGATAAGTAGAAAGTTTCTCAGGATTTTTCCTTTTTCCTTTAATTCTTTCTGTACATTCATCTAATGCCGAAGAAGAAATTATGAAACAACTCAGAATTTTTGGAGATTATAAAGTTGCAGATAGTTTCTCTCCTGAGCTACTTGGGGAAATCACAAATTGTCTACCAGTGGAGGTAGGTATTAAAACTAGAAAAACATATCTTTTGGCTGTGTCAGCTGAAACTAAGGACATTCAAATGTTCTTTATTAGGCAGCTCACGGGACTCAAAGCAACTGTATTTTGTCAAAACACCCAGCAGTGGAAGTTATTGTGCAATGCCAGAAGTTCATGCCAATGTGTTTTTGCAGCAGCAATATAAATTCCTGGGTGCTCTGTTGTTTTGGGTCATCTGACAAGGGTGATGGTTCGTGTCAGAATTGATGTATCTGTGCTAGAGTTTATATTTGCACACAAGTATGCAGTAGGATAGAACTCTCTGTGCTACAGCCATTTGAGGAGTGAATAGACTTCCTTTCAAATACACAGCTGGTGAAGCTCACACAGAGTCCTGGAAAGTCTCACAGGTGAAGGTATAGGAAAAGTTTGGATGTCAAGGAACAGCTTGTAGTAGAGGCAATTTTTCTGTCAGCTCCAGTGAAGCCTGAAGTGGATTTTTCTTGATTTACTTGCACCCAGGACCCTTTTGTAACTGTGTGTATAAAAGTCCCAGTAGCTGGATTTACTTTTTATTTTTTCTCTTAAGTGTATTTCCAGGCCATTTTGAAATTAATAGGCCTTTCTTTCTTTTGTTTTTTAAAGAATGCAAATAAAATACTGCAGTGAAATATTTATGTGTGTAATTATGAAGTGTGGTAGAGAAGTCATTGTTTTAGCAGTTGAAAAAAGAAAATCAATTTAGACTTTTTGCAGTTATTTGCAGTTATTTTCTGATTAACCAGGAGACTATATTGAAACTTTCCTTCAATAAGCAGGTTTTTATTTAGGAAGAGGGATTATAGGGGTGGATTCTGCATCTGTGACGGTGGGATTACTGTCTTTACCACTTTTAAAAGCCTCATACATGACTAATTCCATAGGAGTTCACTGTAAGTATATAATGCGCAACAGACTTTTTGTCTCTTCAGTCACATGTGTATTTTAGAATAAAGTTTTCCCAATGAATCTTGGAAATGGCAGTGTCCTTGGCCTGTGTCTGGCTGTTTTAGCTGCAAGTTAGAATTTGCAGAGTGCAGTGTAATTGATGGATGTGGCCTTTTGTTTTTAAGCATGTGCCTCCTGCCACTTTGAATTTTGCTGCAAAACAGCTCCATCTGAAGCTTTCACTTGACATGCAGCTACTATCTGTTAAACAGTATATTTTGCAGAGTTTGAAAAAATTAGAGAAACAGTGTTTGTGCACATAGTGTGTCTCCGCTTAGGTGGCCATTTGTGGTGTTCACCTTGTCTTGATCATCACCAGTTCAGCTGTACCAATCCATTGTTTATTAAATAAGTCTCTTGTTTGTTAGATACATCACTTGTTTATTAGTGTTTTCCTTATTTTACAACAAAAAAGACTATTATTTACTAATATTTCAATGTTTTCTTATCTAAGTGCTTCTTAAGTGTTCACTGGCCATTGGAGTGACAGATGGATATCTATTTTCACATCCTAAGTTGTGTTGGTAACACATGAAGTTTTTTTCCCATTTCGTACAAGCTTTTTTCTACAACATGGACTTGTTCACATTCACACCTTTACTTTTCGCATTAATTCTAATTGCCAACATGGTTCAGATTACAACTTAAATTATGCCAGAGTAGGTAGGTAGATAAGGTTATGCTCTGTATTTGCTTCTAAATGTAGTGTATAGTTGTACCTTTTATTCTATTCAGGGTGTGCTCTGTGAGATGATAAAACATCTAAATGCCTTTTATATTGAATATTTTTAGTGAGTTTCTTGATAGAGAGCAGAAGTGATGTAGGAAGGAGTGGCTCTTTCAGATACTGCTATAATCATTTCCTGACAGAAACCCAAAACTGTAGAAAGGTACTCTTTAATGTTGACTGCTCTGTATTCACTGTAGTAGTAAACATGCAGTAACTGTTTGAGTTACCTCAGTTCCTGTTCCCTGATGACACTTCACTCTGCTATTTCACTTTGGTTGAGCTTTGTTTGGTGAGATCTTTATTGAATTTGAAGGGTGAACCTTGTGAGGGCTTTGAGCCCAAGGGCTTGGCTTTGAGAAAATTCTGATTCTAATCCTCTGAGATTTCCAGCAGGACCGTAGGGAAAGCACTGCTTCAGTTCTGTTTTGTGAGACTTGAAAGAAGGCATAAATAAAATTCCAGTATGTAGCTTTATTCTGGTAGATGGCAGCGTTATGCATTGTCTCTCACAATTACAGCCTGACTTGAAGTTTATCATGTTTTCTGATTTATTTATTTTACTGGGCTCTGTTTTATTGTGTCTCCCTCAGCAGTTGTTAAAAAACAAACAAACAAACAACAAATACACAAAAGAAACAGCTCTTTGAAACCTTAAAAAAATGCATTACAAACATGTTTTTCCCTTTGCTTCCCAGGGAAACCCCAACTCAGACAATTGCCTTGAGTGACAAATGAGTTTTCAAAAGTACTGGTCAAACATTTTTTGTCTTCACAGGTGTTTTTTTTGTCTTTACAGTTTTAAATGTTTGAACCTAAGCACGACTGTAAATTGTATTGACTTTAGTCATCTGAATGCTTCAAGAAATTGTCAGGTGTTCGCATGAATCCACTCTCACTGTATCCTGATATTTCTGTCTGGCTTATTCCAGGAATTTGCAGCACTTACAAAAGAGCTCAATGTATGCAGGGAGCAGCTGCTGGAAAGGGAAGAAGAAATCGCTGAACTGAAAGCAGAAAGAAATAATACCAGGGTTAGTTCCTTGTCTTCTCCAAGTTCACCATTGTTAAAGAATGGAGGAAAACACTAAATGTTGAATTTAAAAAGCTAGAAGTGTTTCTTTCCCCAGTATTTGCACATGAATCCCCGTGGAAGTGCAAATGTATGTTGATTAAGAAAGTTTGGAAGCTTATATGCACAGCTCCAAATGCTGCTATGCTGAATCAGGAAAAGCTTGTAAGACTGCACTGTGTCTGCCATTCAGCTTTCTGGTTGTGAAAGTTTTGCAATCACACAGCTCCTAGGATCAGAGGAGCAGAGTGAGTGGGTTGTAGGGATCGGTTTGAGCAGCTTACGCTGCTAATACAGGTCAAATGTTAAAAACAGGTCCTTACTCTTGATAACACGTTCTTTGTCTCTGAGATTTGAAGTTTAGAGCTCAAAACTTAATGTTCTAGGAGGCAAAGTTTTCTGCAGCTTTTCGGAACAGGAATAAACATTGTTCCTTTTTCTTGCTTTAGCTGTTACTGGAACATCTGGAGTGTCTTGTCTCCAGGCATGAGCGATCTCTGAGAATGACTGTGGTGAAGAGGCAAGCTCAGTCTCCAGCAGGAGTTTCTAGTGAAGTAGAAGTTCTCAAAGCACTAAAATCTTTATTTGAGCACCATAAAGCCCTTGATGAAAAGGTAATGAAATATTGTGCTTCATCCTGTCCCCTCTTTTGTGTGGGCCATTTTGTGCTAAAGCTGTAGAAATCTCTGAACTGTAACTACATCCAGTACCTGCTCTCCTAAATTAATGTGGAAATAAATCGAAGTGCTGTGGTTGATTCTAGTGTTTCATTAGCTCTGTTAATGTAAACTCAGCATGGTTCAGGGGCAATATATTTGCTGTAGGATTGCATACAGTTGCTTAGCTCTACAATATCAGAATTTAGTCTTTTGATTATGTAATATAAGGAAGAGAGAACAGGAAGAGAGGAATCTGCTTACACTGTGATATGAAGCTGAATTAAAGGAACCCCTCCCTTCAGCTGTGCCTGATATTGGCAGCAGGATATGCAAGTCCTAAAGTTCACTGTGAGTTTTGTTGCCAACTCACAGTTTACCTGACTTTTGTGACCCTTGGATATAAAATCTGGCAAATTACTTTAGGCAGAATTCTTCTTTTTAAGCAGAAATAAGCAAAAGCCTACACACTCTGTGCCTTGCAAAAGAACAAGGAAATTCTGGGCATGTTTAATTCTTACCTAAATATACAGGTCATCTTGAAATACTGTTTGCTTATGACAAAAAAGGAAAAACTAGATTTTTAAGATGCACATTATTTGGTTATTTTTTTGTGTTGTAATTAGTACTGACTGCAGATTAGGCAGGTGTAATGGAAATAGTGTCATTATCTGAAAGGGCATGGCAGTAAATGAAATTGATTTCTTTCTGGTTGGAATGATATCAAATAATTTGAAATTACCTTTTCAGGTAAGGGAGAGGTTACGAGTAGCACTTGAGAGATGTAGTTTATTGGAAGAAGAACTAGGTACTACACATAAAGAGGTAGGTTTCTGTCTTAAAAGTTAAGTCTTCATATGTGCATTGTGGGCAGTTTAGTCAATATTAATAAAATACATAGTAGTTTATTAAGTTTCACTTTCGCTTCTTGCTACTGGTTTTTTGCCAAATGGAACAACAATTAATTTTTAACTCGGTTGCTTTGAAAGAGCAGGAGGGGAAAAAAACAAACCTCAACCCTCTGATACCTCCTGCCCAAAAAAAAAAACCAACCCAACAAACCCCAAAAAACCCTCAAAGAAAACAAAATAAAAGAAAGGAAAGAGTTCACATGGCTTTAAAATAAGAATTTTTGGGTTGCAGTGGCCTAAGTTGGGTCCCTTTGCTGTTTTATTAATAAATACTTTGCAGTAGAATAAGTAATTGTTATTTTACTCCTTTGCTTTTTCAACTGTTCCTTATATTATTAGTGAGAAAAAAATTGACTTGAAACATGTGTGTGTAAACTTTTCTTTTAGTTAATGATTCTGAAAGAGCAAAATAATCAGAAGAAAACACTTCCAGACGGGATGCTGGATATAAATCATGAACAAGAAAATACACCAACTACAAATGGGAAGGTACAGCTATTTACTTGACATCTGACTTTTAATCATTACCTGTAACATTTTAATTTTAAACTATGATAAGATATTTTTGCATGATCATCTAATTAAAAAGTCTTAGCTACCACAATTTCAATTTTTGCAGTCTATCCAATAATAAAATTATCCTTGTGGAGAGGTGTTTACAGGTGAGTAACAGTTTGTTTTTCAGTCTTATTTGCAACATGCCAAATACAGTTGCTTTTTTTTCCTGTTTAATAGAGATCCTCTGATGGTTCTTTATGCCATGATGAAAACCTTGCTAAAGTGATTGAACTCCAAGACATTATAGATAAGCAAAACAAAGAGCAGACACAAATGAAAGAACGTCTCACTGCTCTGTCCAGCAAAGTGGCAGAGTTGGAAGAAGATCTTGACACAGCCAGAAAAGACTTGATAAAGTCTGAAGAAATGAATACAAAGTTACAGAGAGATGTACGAGAGGTGAGGAGGGGGCTGACAGAATTTGGGGAGTCCCAAATGCAACTGCTTTATCAAATTTTAGTCTTATTGGTGCTCAGTTGAACCTTTATGCTTTTGAATGTCTTTGTATTGATAGATGAGAAGAAAATAGTTCAGGGTATGATCTCTTTCTTTAATATAAAAGACCAGTTGCTTAAGACAATTTATCTTCATGCTAAATCTACGACTTAGATATTTCATTAATATATTGGAGATTTAACATTGCAGGCTTTACCATGTTCTTGAAAAGATACTTGATCTTGTCATAAAAGCTAAGCTTATTCATAAAGTTTAAATTTTTTAAAGATGTACATAGAGGAAGAATCACTTTAATTTCAGTGCTGTCATTGATAGTTCCTGATCAGTCACTAATCTCCGAGGTCCCATTTATTGCAGTGTACTGTAATTAAGTAGAAGTTAAATAGGGTGCTTAGTTAAGTCCAAGAACATTCTCTGACCATCCCCAGCACATCAAGATTTGCTGTGTTTGTACCATTGAAAAGGTAAGTAGCAGATCTGTGGCATAAGATAATAAAGATGAGTCTTTTTTAATCATTCACTGTTTTAAAAAAGTATTTGAACTTGTAAGCCTAAGTGAGACTCTTCTTTCTACTTCATTTTATACAGAGAAAAATAACAGAAATGTCAGATTTTTAAATTTTTATTTTTTCTAGGGTTTGCCCCCCAGTTTGATCACAAAATAATTCTCTCTCATATTCTGAATTCTGCTTTGTGTCTTGCACAGACTATGGCCCAAAAGGAAGACATGGAAGAGAGAATTACAACTCTTGAGAAACGCTACCTCGCTGCGCAACGTGAAGCTACATCTGTGCACGACCTCAATGATAAACTTGAAAATGAAATTGCCACTAAAGACTCCATGCACAGACAGGTTGGGATTGGAATTAAGATAAAGTGCATTTTGCTCGGCATAAAACTGATGGAAATAATTCATGTTCATGCTCTACTGAAGCACTTTGCTTTTAGGAAGATAAATGTCATTTGTAATGGGCTGTTGGTAGTGACTGTTTTTCAGTAATTGGAGTTGTACATTGCAGAGTTTTACCCTGGGAATGAAGATGACACAGTTTTACTGGGAAGGGGAAATGATTTAGAGAATTTCAGTGCACTTCATCATGGCTTTTGTCCCTATTAGTTGTGGATTTTTAAGTTGTTATATGTGTATCCAAACATCTTTAGCTTTGTGTGTAAGAATTACTCATTCTAAGCTGAAACCTTTTAAAACTTGTATAGTGTGTAGTGATTTTTACAGGCTATAATAGAAGTGAGTGTTGCTTTACTGGGAGTGGAAATTTGACATATGCTTGACAGGAAAGTCCAGCTTTATAAACCAGGAATGGTTGTTTAGCCAATCGCTTTCTAATTAGAGGCAGGCAACCTTTTGTCAACAAGAGAAGTTCCTTTTGGTATAATTCATAAAAGTAGTTGTACACACTTGAAAAAAAATTAAATTTTGCAGTAATATGCACAGTGTTTTTTAAAATATGGAGGAATTTGTCCCTTGTCTTAGCACAACCTTGATGTAGAAGATTCACAGCTTGTTCTTTGCTGCTTTGAAAATTAATTACCATTTTTAACCCTAAGCATTTTTGATTGTGATCCTGTGCAGAGTGAAGATAAGAACAGGCAATTGCAGGAACGGCTGGAACTGGCTGAGCAAAAGTTGCAACAGACCCTGAGAAAGGCTGAGACTTTGCCAGAGGTGGAAGCTGAGCTGGCCCAGAGAGTTGCAGCACTTACAAAGGTGAGGCCCCCTGGACAGTGTCCTCCAGACTCTGTTCTCCATTGGTCCCACTGCATGAAATCTGGTGTTAGTGTTGGCTTTGTTACATTCCGGTTTTCCCACAAATAATTCAGAAAATATTTATCCCTGTTCTCTCTACTTTTCCCGTTCACCTCTCTGAATACACTCTTCTTGATTTTTATTTTTATTTTAATTTTTTTTTTTTAAATCTCTGCTCTTTGGAACTTGAGCAGGTTTTCTGTTAATGATGTTACATTATGAAAATGTCTCTGAATTATTACTTTGGTACTCTTTATTAAAATTAATTCAATGTTAGGCATAAAATCCTTCTAAACATGAACTATTTCTGAAGGGGAAACCCAAAATCCTTTCACTGATAACCAAGTGAAGAGTATGGGGAGCAAGAGAAGTAATGATACTAATAAATATCAAGGTTTTTAGAGGGCTGCAAATGAGCTAATGAAGTGTGAAGAATTCTATTTGGTAACTGCAAGTGAGCCTTTTCAAGTGTGTGTGTGCATTTTCTTTGAAAGTCTTAGTTTCATTTCTTTCCCTGTTATCTTTCCTGTCCCTAACTGGCTCTGTAGTCTGACATTTTGTCTCCTGGGAGATCTGCTGCTAAAGATGCAAAAGTGTTGGAACTTACCACCAAGCTTAGGAAGGTAGAATTTGTATCTTAGTCCTTGTTTCTGCTTGCTGCTTTCTGCTTTGTCATGGGTACTAACACAGGGTCACATCCTCCAGACTAGTGAGGAAAAGCTGAAAATGCACTTAGTTTTTATTTTCTTTTTCTTTTTTAATTCTTGGGGATGTGAATGAACTTCTGCTCTTGCAAGCTCATTTGCAAAGAGCAGTGGATTCGTGGTGAGAGGTTTCCTCATTTTGCTACTCGCATATGAACCCTTGCAAGGCTTTTGGTGACAGAAAAGCATCTGTTTTGTATTTTGTGTTACCATAAATGGCGGTTGTGCAAAGCATGTTAGAAATATTACTGTGCTTCAATGTTTCTGTGCTTTTGAAACCTTAAAAAAACCTCACCCAAATTCCAATTTTGCTTTCAAATTGACAGGCTGAGGAGAGACATGGCAACATCGAGGAACGACTGAGGCAGATGGAAGCACAGCTAGAGGAGAAGAATCAAGAGCTGCTAAGGGTATTGTACATAATTTTGACAAAGATATAAAGCTGAAAGAAAGAATTCAATCCCCTTTATGGCTGGTACTGTTCAGCAAAGCTGGTTTTATTTCTCTCTTTAAAAGAAAACCGGAGTTTGGGCTGGCTGATATTTGGGAGATTTGAGTCACTGTACTATGTCTCACCTTAAATCTCAAGGGCAAGCTGAAAGTCTGCCATGAAAGTTTGAAAATAGAAAATATCCAATTACTATTCTTAAACTCAATATATATTCACATACTCAATAAAATATATTCAATATTACTGGTAATATTGCTATTACTATTCATATCTGATTACTGTTCATACTTTCTGATGAACAGACAGATCAAAAACTTGCTGAATTAAATGACTATGGAAAAATTGGTTTCTGGGTTATAAATAATGGAATTCATTCTGAATTCTGTTTGTTTTTTGTTTGTTTGTTTTTTTAATATAGGCTCAGATTTTCAAACTTCTGATTTTGGATCAGTTATTAAACTGTGAAGTGTCCCTTATACTCCCTCACAGAGTCCTGGAGGTCCATCCAGTATTCCCCTCTGGAAAAATATTGCTGTTAAAGAAAGCTTACTGCCTTTATAACCTGGAAATTGTTATAGACATTGAAAATTTGAAGTTATTTCAGTAGCTTTTCTGTATCTTAGGCTAGACAGAGAGAGAAGATGAATGAAGAGCATAATAAACGTTTGTCAGAAACTGTTGATAAGCTTCTGTCTGAATCCAATGAAAGGCTCCAGCTGCATCTCAAGGAAAGGATGGCTGCCCTAGAAGATAAGGTAACAAGTCACATTCCAGCACATACATTAATTAGTATGCTCAGAATTCTGTGATTTGTGCAGTTTGCACACATCTGTAACTTCAGTAAATAAATATGAAATCCTTATTACTAAATAGTTTTTCTTAAGGCTGTTTTTTAGTGTGGATTTTGAAAATATGTACATAAAATTCAAGTTTTTTGAGACTGTCCCTGGGCGTTGCACTGCAGTGTTGAGAAGGCATCTTTTAATTTTAAGCAACTTTATCTTTTCCTGGTTGATTGGTGTGGATTGCATAAATAGGCTCATCCAGTATAATACAGGAAGCCTAAAGAATTAGGACTAGAACTCTGGCCTTTTTATTTCAGTTTCTTTTGTTTCCCAGTGCTCTTGGCTATACCAGTTCCCCTGAGTCCTTGTAGGATTCTTGCAAGTTGAAAGAACCTTGTGTTTTCTTCCCAGGTAGATCATTTTGGGAACTCATTATGTGAAGATAATTGGGCTGTTCCCTGCACTGTCAATGCACCCCTTGGAGCTTTCCCCAGCATTCAACTTGTGACACACTTTTACTGTTTTTCTTTATCTTCTGCTTTTGGATGTAGTTCCTTATGGATTTTTCTTTCACACATGCCTTTAAGTTAGATTATCTTACTCTGCATCCAACAAAGCAAGGTCTTCTAAAGTGACATTTTACTTGATGCTGATTTAGAATTGCCTTGTCTTGGATTAAAAAAATATTTGGTTTCCTTTCTTGGAGAGTGAAATGATCATATGGGGAAAATGTTTCAGTAAAAGCTATGTGAATTTTGTTTTAAAGTCATGACAATAAAACACTTCAATAAGTAGAATGATGTTTTCAGATTTTTACTAAATGTTTGCTTCCTCTTGCATTCATTTCAATTCAGTTCTCATCCCTAAACCGTCAGTGAGGTGTCTGACACATCCTTCCATAATTCCGGGGCTCTCAGATCATTACAGGGATTTAGTTCATTCCTTGCCCTGCTTTTATGCTCTCAGAACTGGGAGGAATCGAGTGGTGCAGAAGAAACGTAGGTCCTACTGTTATCCTTCGAGTTGATCATAAAGGTGCTTATCTGGCATCTAAGGCTGCAAACTTTGCCTTGTGTTTCTAAGTTAACAACACTATTTTCAACATCACTAACTGCTTCAGAAATTCTGGTTATGGCCCATGTTGTGATATCAACAGTCATAACAGTCTTTTAAAATTAAATTTCTAAGAAACAGATGACAGCATTGGTTTTTTTAAATGTTTGCATATTGGGGGGTGTCTTAGGGCTGACCCAAACTCCCTCCTATCTTCCATAACTTCTTTCATGAGTAATGAGGAAAATCTACTTGTCCTTTACTCTAAGTAACAACTTTTAGAGAAGTGTTCTTGTGGAGGCTTCCAGCTCATTCTTTTATGATAAGTTAGAAAGAAATGTGCAGGTAAAATTTTAAGACTTTGTTCTGATCACTTGGTATTTTTCCCAGAGTGATTTATTTTTTCACATATGAAATTGTAGTTCATCTAAAACATGTAATAAAGGTATTAACAACCTCAAGAAATTGTTAATCAGAACCTTTTGGCTGTGGTAGAAAAGGAAAAGAAAGTGAGCCAGTTATAAGTGTCCTATCAGAAGGGGGAATCTCTAGTTTGAAACAGGTCTAATGTTAAGAAAAACCCTTAATTCAGTGAGTGTTGCAGTTCTGAAAGTACAGTATATCCAAGAAATTTTTTTAGGTCAAACAAGTGCAAATAGAATGAAAACTTAAGGATAATGGCTGCTAATTCATCTCAATAACCACTCAGTGAATTACTTTAAATTATTTTAGCTGCCTAATTATTCCTTTTTTTTTTACTGGTCAGACTTTTTCAAATGCAGTTTTAGAAGTTTGCTATTGCTATTAAAAATTTATGGAACCAGTACTATTACTAAATCCATTATTTAGAGGGCTGTACACCTGGAAGGATAAACCTTCAGCTATAATCAAAGTGAAATGATGGTAAAGTATCTTTAATTTAAGATGTATAATGTTGACTGAATTATTTTTAATACTCCTCATGGTTGTGGTTTAAAAGTGTAAAGCTTTTTATAAGTGACTTACTCTGTGATACCTTTTATTTTAGAATTCACTTCTTCGAGAAATTGAAAATGCAAAAAAGCAAATAGAGGAGCTTCAGCATGAAAAGGTACATTGCCTTTCTGAAATATTCTGTTGGAGCATCATTGCTGCCTTGCTACATAGCAGGATCAGGTTTTAATTCCCCACAGAATTTAACGTTACCTGCTCTGTTTAAAAGAAGGGAGTTGTTGTTCATTTTATGGTATTGTGTGCCTAGTTTTATGAGGCTTTTATAGGTAATACATAACCTTTTACTCAAAAACTTCTGAATATGTAAAGTGCCTGGATATGTTGGCAATTTGCCCAAGTTTGGGGATTGTGTAGAATTTTTATATTTTTGTACATATGACCTTGAACAGCAAAAAGAAAAGAGATACATTTTTAATGTTGAGCATTTTCCTATAAGGTTTTCTTAAAGCTTTCAATATGAAATACGTGTGCAACTGCTAAAAATTTTCTTTAATTTATTAGACTTGGCTGCTGCTTTTTAATAGCATCTGTCTGGTGTTGTGCTTGCCCTGGAAATGACAAGTTTTCCTTCCTTAAATAAGTGGCGAGGCCTTTCGTATCTTGCATCCTTAAACAGTGGCAGTTGATTTTGTGGTCACAGCATCTGTTCTGAAATAATACTTGTTATAGCTTGTTAAATCACAGGTGTACTGCACCTCCCTACATCACTCTGGTAAGTTTCTAGGACAGGATTTGGAGGCTGTGCTTCTGTAATAAAAAGAAGAATGTTAAAGAATGTTCTGCAAAATGTGGAAGTCTTGTATGTGTTGGCCAGCAGTTTTCACACAAGGCACAGATATTCAACATCAGCCACTTTTTATTGGTCTTCTCTTGTTTTCTCATTCATTGGATTTCTCTGCTGTTAAATTCAGAGTTTCTAGGGTCTGTCAAAATGTCCAAGTTCAAAGTGAATACTTTTAGAACTTTCTGTGCAGACAGCTGGAAAAATCTTCTTGTTTCTTCTGATTATCGCTTTATAATAATTAAGTTAGTAGCATGTGAATTTTATTTCATTGCTGTTTTTAAAGTGTATGTTGTCATTACTAGAGTCAGCGTAGAGAGGCAGCAGAATTACTCTGGGTTGGCCTTTTGTGGCAGTGCTGTATTGTGTGCAGCAAACCCAATTTTTACATTTTATATTGTTGATGGGTGTGTTTTAAAATCTGTTATTTCTGAGTTTCATAGAAATGAGGCCAAAATCTTAAATGTTAGTTTATAAATCCCTATTTGATACTGATTGTTTTTTCTTAAGGCATATTGTTTTGTATTTCATGTATCTATTTTTGCAGGATCAACTTGCAATAAATGTTGATGCATTAAGGGCTGAAAATGACCAAGTGAGACTCAGAGCCACATCACTCCATCATAGGTACCAGCAGTATTTCAATTTCTTCTACTTTCTTTAAAGTCACTATGCGAAATGTAATTTTGTCTGTTATATAGCTATAAAATCTATTTTCATAGAGCATATAAGACAGTTTTTATGCAGTGCCTAAAAGCAATTGGCACTAGTAGGAAAAGAGAAATAATTTGGGTGAATTTTTTTGGTTTCTTTCCCTCTTCCCCTCCCTTTTTAAAGCTAAATGATTGTTTGTGTGTACCAGCAGACCAGATTTCAGATTCCCTATGACATCTTCCTCTGTGGTTGACACTCACACAGACTCCTTTGGCACCTCCTCCGTGCTGAGGCGTCCCCAGAAGGGACGTTTGGCAGCTCTCAGAGATGAACCTTCAAAGGTAACAGAACTCTGAAATGAAAATACAAATAAATCTGTGATGAAAAAATAGATTACGTAGGGCTAATCATTGTAAGGAGTTTTTAGAACTGGAGTAGCTAGCAATAAAGTAGATTTTGTAGATCCTCTTTCACTAACTAATGCACCGCTACTGGTCTTTGTAATTGTTAGCAAAAATAGCAAGATTATGGTTTTGAACTCAAATTTTGTTTTTTAATTTTGCTAAGCCTATAAAATATACTTTAAAACAGTCCTACTTCTGTGTCTATACACTATTCTAATGTGTCACTGTTCTGCAAACTATTTCAAGTCCCTTTCAGGACTGATTCCAAAATTTGCAAGGAACTGATAGCAAAATTCTACCATAATTCAAAGTGTGTATAGCCAAGATATGTGATGTTTGAATTTATTCAATAAACCCGTCCATTTTACATCTTCTAGTGAAGTGAAATTTAAAAGTTTCCTACATTATAGCTTTTTTTCTTTACATTTCTCTAAAAACTGCTATCTTAATGGATGCATTCAGCATGTAAGTAGACTTAAAAAAATTATTTTAAACATCTTGAAAATCAGTAGAAACATCATGTTTTTGTCCATTGAGTTTGGATTTTTTTTCATGGATTCTTTTAGGTTCAGACTCTGAATGAGCAGGATTGGGAGCGAGCCCAGCAAGCAAGTGTGTTGGCAAATGTGGCACAAGCATTTGAGAGTGATGTTGATGTGTCTGATGTGGAGGATGACAGAGAGACCATATTCAACTCAGTTGATCTGCTGTCACCAAGTGGTCAGGCTGATGCTCAGACTTTGGCCATAATGCTTCAGGAACAGTTGGATGCCATCAACAAAGAGATTAGGTATGGCCTGTCTGCTGTCAGGGCTTTGATAAAAATCACTTGGAAAATGGTCATTTTGTACTGATCCTTCCTAATCCTCCACTCCTTCTGGTCATATGGCCCTTGTTTGAATGTCACATTCCTTTAAAACTCTTTTATCCCTTAGACTTATCCAAGAAGAGAAGGAGAACACGGAGCAGCGAGCAGAGGAGATTGAAAGCAGGGTGGGCAGTGGCAACCTGGATGCCCATGGCCGATTCCGCTCCATGAGCTCCATCCCTCCTTCCTATGCCAGTGGTTCCCTGGCTGGTTCCTCCCCCCCTGGCAGTGGCCGCTCCACCCCGAGGCGGATCCCACACAGCCCAGCTCGGGAAGTGGACAGGTTGGGGATCATGACACTGGTAAGTGCCCATTAACTCCAGGTTTTTTCCGGAAGAGCGCTTCTTTTCTCTAGGAAATGGGTTGTTTGATTTCCCCCTCCTCTCCTTCTTACTCAACTGCATTTTTCCTTCCTCTAGATTTTTCTACTGCTTCCTTTCAACTTGTATAAAAAGTGTAAGATACAGTTCATAATAATTAGGAAAAACTTTCCTATTATTTTGTTATCTTGGCCTAAGTATTCCTTCTGTTGTTATGGTCTTTTTTCAGACTCCCCTTCCTACAAGAAATAATGTTTTCTTTTCAACCACTTTCTCCCTCTGCTTTAAACTTCATTTTTAGCAGTCCACTGTTCTACTAAACATTCAGCTAAAAGGTGATTTGCATATTAGTCTTGAAGACTGTGGTGGTAATAAAACTGCTGTTTTATTAATAATGAGTACTACTGTCCTGTTTTAGGCTATTAAAACTGGTAGGGAAAAGACGTGTCTGTTAGACCTTGTGGCTGATGAAGTAGTTCAGGCTTAGCAGTTCAGTGAGTAGAGAAAGATAGATCCATTCTTTTGACATTCTGATGACTGCTTAGAAAAATTAATCCTTCTAGGAGCTGCTTTGTACATGGAAACGTATCTCTAAAAACAAGATACAAGTTTTCCCCTTTCATATTTTTACATAAATGTTAAGTAAACCAAACAGTTTCTCATCTTTAGGATACCTTTCAGGAAGGAGCATCTTGGGTACTGGTATTTATTTGCAAGCACTCTCCAGGAAAAGCTCCTTTTCTGATTTAGTCCTAGATACTTTACCTTGTCTCCAGATTTCCACATGGTTTTGGAAACTGTACTTACTAATTGTGCTATCAAAATTCAGGATATGGGGTGCTTTATCTTTTAACATTTCACAGTAATAAGTAGATAAGCAAAGTACTTCTCATGCATAAAACCATATACAAATTTAAGTGGCTCTTTTCCAAAAAACTGGATTAGGAGAATGTGTCTTATAATCTAATGTAATTAAAGAAAAGCGAACTGTAATTAAAGCTGACTTTACATCATAATTGTGAATCAAAGTCACTTTATCTGCTGTTTGCAGTTGCATTTGGTGGTTTTTGTACCTGGAAACTGATTTGTGAAAGCTTGAAAACAAGAAGCTATGCTTCTAGAATTACAGAACAAGAGCTTTCTAGAAACTTCTGGAACAGCTGTTATGAATTTTTGGACTAAATAATAGTTCTACTGTGTTTTTCAATGTTTTAATAGGGAGTTGCATCGGTTTATGATCATGTAGGCAAATTAGCTTAAGGCTGCCTGCAGTAGTGGTTCTGCAGTTCAGTCAGTTGAAAGCTCCTCATGATTAAAAAGCATCAACATGATAAATTGTGAAGCCTGCAGCTCTCTTGGCCAGTTTTTGTGGACAGTTTTCATTCCATATAGTAAACATTTGCATTTTTATGGAGCATCAGATTTAATAGATAAAAGATCCAGCAAGAGTAAAATGAGTCAGGTGTTTTGTCAAGAACTTGAGGAGGGACTAGATCATCTTTAAAGGTCTCTTCTATGATTCACTGGATGATTTATTAATGTAGTACTCTACAGTCAGATTGAACAAAACTTTCCATATTAATGCTGCATAGTTTACATGTATTCGAAATAAAAAATGATTAAAAGGCATCCTTTGGGATTGAAGGGAGGGAAGCAACACCCTCCTTGTCCCACTTCTCCCCTGCCTTGTCCCACTTCAAAGGGGACTGACTTTATTTTTGGTTATTGTCTTTTTAAATAATGAGAACTGTTAAACAAATTACCTACATTTAACTTTTATCAGCATCAGTGGGAAAAACTTGTTTGTGTAACTCAAGGTTTCTGCCTTGCTCTGTACCTGGGAAATGAGGAATTCTGGAGTGGATGGAGGATAAAATAAAACTGGTGGTGGACTCTTGCTCAAACATTTCAGTACTTCAAACTTAGAACAGAATCCTGTTACTGTATAGAAACCAACTATTTTTGGCACTCCTGTCTTTCACAGTTATTAAATACTGGCTGCTTTTTGTGCTATGTAGGAAAGAGCTGCAGGAACCACTAAGTTGTGAGGAGGGACTAGTGCAGGCAGTGTATTTAAGGCTCCTGTGGGTGATATGTAGGTTCAAGGCAAGCCCTTGACACATAATGGGAAATCTCTCACCTTTTAAAAGCAACACTTCACTGTTTTTCTTGCTGAAGATGCTGCACTTTTTGTGTGCTAATTGCCTGAAGTACCAATACACTCAAACATCTACAGTACTTCAGTAGATAACCGTTTCTAAGTGTTTATTTTTTTCTCTTCTGGGATACATTTTAAGTAATCTGTTGTTTGAAGAGTACTTGATACTCAGTATCTTTCTCTGTGCCATTGTTGTAATTGTTATTTATATTCTCCCTGAGATGTTTTGTCTCTGTACTAGTTGTTTCAGTCTGTGCTGCAGTTTACAATAAATACAGCTTTTCCAAATTTCTTTTCTTTGCATGCATCTGTCAGCCTAGTGATTTAAGGAAACACCGTAGAAAGGTAAAAATCTTTAGTTTGTTTAATGGTGTGCTCCTTCATCTCCTTCCCTGACCCCAAACTAATTACTGGATAACAGGAACATAAGAGAAAGCATTTGCAGGGTAACTCTGTAATAAAGCAAGATTATGGTTTATCATTTTAGCATAAGTGTGGGTTTGTTTTGTAGGGGGTTTTTTTGTTTGTTTGCCTTTTTTTGCTGTGTGGAGACTGTTGTGCTGCTTTCTGTTTGTAACCACTGTTTTGCAGTCTTGATGCATCATTGTTTAATATTAAAGATCTGTGAAGTTATAATTTCTGTTACTAAAACTTTAAAATCAACCATAGCTACAAATATGAAGACTTCATCAAGTCAGTAATCTTGCCAATGATCCTTTTCACAGGACTCTTGATTTTTACACTTGCTCAAACTGAAGTGAGGTACGTTAGTTTTGTGGTGCTACGACATTACTTTAGTTCTTAGCTCTCTGAATGAACTAAATAAGTGCTACTGGCTTATTTCAGTAGCTAAGACTGAAATTTAGTAGTTTATCACTGAAGGTAACAGGAAATTCAGAAAGAAGTCAAGCCAAAAATAAGCAACTGGAGAATGGTAATGGCAAGAGTAATCCTTTAATACTGAAATAATTGATTTCTCCTTTCAGTATTTTGTGTAGTGTTGATGCTACATTTGTGTTTTGGCATTTCCCCCTCAAGTTTTCCTTGTTTTTCCATTAGTCTCCAGCTTCCAGAGAAGAGGTACGAGATGATAAAACCACAATAAAATGTGAGACATCACCACCTTCTTCCCCTCGGTCTCTGCGTTTGGACAGAGTCCAGAAAGGAGCTTTGCACACAGTGAGCCATGAAGATATCAGGGACATCAGGAAGTAAGTGCCTGGGACACCACTCAGACCTACCAGAAACTCAGTTTTCACATCATCAGAATAAAATCCTAAATCAGCAGAACTGTTCAGCCCGTAGGATTTTAGTCTGGATGTTGAAGTGTTTCTCGAAAGTCAAGAGTATGAACACATACTGTTGCATAAACAATAAGAATACGGGTTTTGTTAATGATCAGAAATGGCTTTATATGAAGAATTCTTCTGGTACTCAAATCTGCATTAAGTTTGCTTCATGTTGAGGAAATGAGAAATACGCAATTCCACTCTTCAAGTTGGAATTTAGGTATAAATTTAGAAATAACTTGCAAAATAACCATCACTTGGATGGACAGATGGACTTTTCAAACTGCCTGGGATGGATTCCATTCAAGTATTTCAAACTTTCATTGTCTGCCTCAGTTGGTCAGGAACTTGTGTTGGCAATTTTGGCCTCTCTGAATTGCACTTTAAACACTTCTATTGACTTGTAGTTCCATGTTATAGTATATAGATTTTATTTCCCTTTCTTCTTTTCTTGCATTGTTTTCACTGGGTTTTTTTTATTTAATTATTTGTATTTTAATGGATAAATTTCTTTTCTTGACTCATAAAAGCTGAAATTAGATGTCATTAGTGAGTTACTGAATGTTAATTAACTTGCACAGAACCCTGAACTTGTCTATCACTGTTACACTGGTGAATTTGTTTTACATGGGCTCCTTTATGACTCTTTTTGTGGGTAAAGTTCAACAGGTTCTCAAGATGGGCAAACAAGTAATCCCAGTAGCAGTAACAGTAGCCAAGATTCCCTTCACAAAGCTCCCAAAAAGAAGGGGATCAAATCCTCCATCGGCCGCTTGTTTGGCAAGAAGGAGAAGGGACGACCTGGACAAATAAGCAAGGAAGGATTAGGACAAGGTGGATTTGCTTTTTGTTTTGTAAGAGGTGTGAGCTTGGGGGGTTGGCTTTGTACATGATCAGTAATATTACAAAGGATTAAATACTTGATTGAGAACATAAGGCTGGTTTTTGGGTTGTTTTTTTTAGGCGGCATGGGAGAAGCTGATGGTTCCTCTCAGGATGCCTTAGGTCTCAGCAAGCTTGGAGGTCAGGCAGAAAAAAACAGGAAAATGCAGAAAAAGTAAGTTATCAAATATTTTTAGTCCTCTGTTGGTAAAGTATTGCTTTCTTTAAAAATGTTGTGGTTTATTTTTTAGTTTCATTTTTGGATATTTTTGACTAGTATGGTGCTGTGGCTAATAAGCCTCCGAAGGTTTGGTTTGTTTACTATTTTTTCCAAATATCAGTAGTAGCAGAGGTCATGGTAAGTTTGAAATGAATTTCAGTGCTGAAAACTTATAATTGGAATGCTGTAATAAACTCATAGATAAAAGTGGACTCTTATCAACCCCACCCCCACCCCGAAATTTGTTATATTTAATACCTGCTTTGGGCTGGATTCAGTTGGAAAATTTCCTAAAGTTGTCTGATGCTGTTACTTGCTCTAGAGTGTGAAGGAGTTGACAGAGTGAAAGCACAAGATGCTCGGTGGTGACATCCCTCTGTATGAATTTCCTATTTCTTCTCTGCCCTTTTGTGTTATAGCTGCCAACTGCTTTTCTCTTCACTTATTTTTTTTTACTTCTGTTTAAGGTTTTCTTGACATTCTGTCATATATTTTAACAGCTGAAATCTTTTTTCTTTCACCATATAATGCCAATTTCACCTTTTTTTAATCTGTTGTGACTACTTTTTTATGGCACCTTTTAGGCATTTACCTTTTCCTAGTCATGAGAATTTTTTCGCTCTTTGTCCAAGAAGTCTTTAGTTTATTGTTCAGCTTTTGAGTATCTATTTGCATCCTTGTTATTCCCAGAGTTAGAAGAGATGTAGCAAAGATTGTAATTATAGGTGTAAAATAGACATTGCTAGCAGTAGAAATCTTGATTTAAGGCTTAAATTGGTAATACGGGAAACACTGAAATTTCTCTAAGTAGGATCAGGCATTCTTTGCATTTTTTCACCCAAAGCTGAGCCATATACCTTGAACTTCTGTTACTTCTGTTCAGCTGCCTTTATTGTGTCAAAAAACTGACAAAGATCAGACAGGTCTTGCTTTTTTACTTGCCTTCTGAAGTCAGTGAATATTGAAAAAAAAAGTGTGTTAATTTTCTCTTTGTGAGGGATTTTTTTGCAGTACGTAAGTTCTATTAACAAATAAGAATAATGCCTGGTGGCTGCTAATGAAAACCAGCAGTGTGTTGGTTTGGAAAGTTGGAATGGAATGTGGGTTTGTTTGTATAACAGAAGGCTCAGCTGTTTTTCCTCAGACTGCTGCACTGAAGGCAATCATACGTTATTATGACCCGGTATTTTCCCCTTTTCTACAGAGCTTTAAAGTGATACCCCACATCTTGGTTGAATAAATAGTTAGAGTCTGGTCATGTCTAAATAGTGGGTAGGGTTGTTCTTTGATCAATATAGGTATTTCTCAATGCCAGCCACAAATTTCAGTCTCTAGGAGAACAATCTACAGTACCTTGCTTTAAGAAATGCAGAAAGTGCATTTCTGCCCTTCAAAATTATACTGGTACTACTTAAAGTGTAATTTATGGCTGCATGTTGTTGACTGCTTAAGAGGCAAGTGTCTGTCTTAAACAAATGAAAACTTTCCCTAGCTATTCTTAAGTCCCTCTCCATCTTTCTTGGAGCCCCTTTAGATACTGAAAGGGGCTCTAAGGTCCCCCTGGAACCTTCTCTTGGCTTTTTTTCAAATAAATGAATATAATCTAACTCTAATTTTAAAAATCCCAATAAGATATTTTAATGCAGCTGCTTCAGAAGCCTTGCAGGTTTCTGAACAATGTTCTGAACAATGTTATCACAAGGGACCAAAGATCCCTTGCGATGCTGGATATCTAAAGGAAAAAGTGGGAAAGCTGCTCTGAATTGCTTTTCATTTTGATACTGGAGGATGGTGGGTTAAAACAAATTCTTGGGGCTGACTGTTTGCTTTTATAAAATCTTGTATTCCGCAGAAAGAATTCCAATTACCTGAATACTTGGAACAATGACAGCTACTTCTATTTATAGTTGTCTCTAATCCCTATTTGCTTACTTATCTTTCTGCTTTCTGCATGCATGTGCACAAACAAGCTGAGGGCAGTATTCAATGGCTGCTAACAAAAACCTATTTATAGCTACAGAATTAAATTACAGTCCACATTATTTGTTTTGTATGCCTTTGAGTTCAGTTCAATCCTAGTTTTAAATTTTTCCTTCATTATTTTATTTTTCTTTTCTATACCATTTCATGTGGTAGTGCAAAATCAGGGTAAGTTTATATTTATTTTATTAGGATTTTTGTGGAAGTGTGATAGATCTCATTTGGATTTTTTAGCAATATATTAAAAGCTCTAACTTTTTTCAAGAGTCTGATTATGAGAGGAAGTTCTAGATTCAAAAGAATATATTATGAAAATGTGTTGCTGAAATAAATCCAGTGTCACTTAGTGCAATGTGAAATGTAGTTCATTGTCTTGTCTTAATTTGCATGGTGTGAATTTTTATGATGGAAATATTTACCCCTACTGAGATTAAATTAGTTTTGTAGTTTGAGGTTTGAAAGTTGTTTAGCAATAGTAACTATTTGTGGCAGTTTGTTTCCAAGGTAGATGTAATTCTGTAGAACTGTTGCTTCTGTTTACTAAACCTATGTTGGTTTTAGTGTTGTGTTCATCATCTTTCTGTATTGACAATGTTTGCCACAACTGTTTGTGCTTTTCTGCGTACAAACACAACAAACGTAATACTGTATTAATCAAAAAGGAAGGCAAACCTAAATTTAAGATTCCTCTCTTAAAGTTATACACAGTAAGCTTATTTACATAACTGAAATTAACCTATAATAAGGATATTAAATTTCCCCTGACGTTCTACCTGAAATTGGTCAGTTATTTTCATGTTGTCTACTGTTGCTTTTCAGGTTTTACACCTTTAAACTCTCACTTCCATCAGTATCATTCTTTTCTCCTGCCCACTACTGTGTTTTCTCTGTTCTGAGCTTCTTCCAAATCAGTTCTCTTCAGTTCCTTCCAAGAAAACCTGGAATACAGCGTTCCCCTCTGGCTACAAGGCCTGAGTTTATCCATTCCCATGCTGTCTTAGTCCAGTGACAAAGTGAGCTTGCTCGGGGCTGCTTTATTTTTCTTGTTGGGGTTATTGTATCCTTGTCTGTCAAGAGCCATTCCAAACAGAGATCCTTCAGGTGGTCCTTGAAGGGTCTTGTGCATTCTCTGCTCCACCATACATCTGCAGTTTGGACATCATTTCTGATCCCCTATGTCCACAGTTCTTTGTTCTCCACAGGTGGTGTGAGATGCCTCTGGAATGTGTCTAATGACAAGCAGCAGCATGTTTGGGCTCCCGTTCCAAGTGAATTTCTGCTAATTTTTTTATTAAGTCTGTAGACCTATATCCCTTGGTTTTGTCACCTAGGAGTTATTCTAGTAGCCAGCTACTTCTTTGGCGTTTTTTTATCCCTCGCAGTGCCAGGTTTATCTCATCTGTTAACACTACTGACACTGCTGCAGTATTTTTTTCCCTCACAAAGATGTGAGGCTGGATTTTGCACCCACTTCCTAACTGGGGGAATTGGATGGCCTGTGAAACTCAGTTGGCCTGAGAGTTGTGATCTTTCAGGGATTTCATCACATATTACTGGAATGCAGTGAATGTCTTGGGAAAGCTGGAAGGGGATAGTTGGAAAAGGGAAGTTCTGTGCTATAGGAAAAGAAACATTTATGCATCATTTGCAGATGAAACAGCAGCTGTCTCTGAATTCTTTCTCTGAAATGCTTTGGGCCTGTGCTACATCTTGAGCTTTGGGTTTAATGATTTCCCATGAAAGCAAATTTTTTATCTCTTACTGCATATGAAAAAATTCTGCAATTAATTTTCCACTTCATGGTTGACTCCTCTTTGGATCCATTGAATAATTTCTGTATAAAGATACCGCATAAACATTTTTTATTTTGTTTGATTCTATTTCTACATGTTTGCTTCCATCCCGTAACACTCTCTTCCAGCCACACAGTCTTTTTCTGCATTATTATACCACCGTGGGTTTCAAGTTTGCATCATAACCTCTCCTGAAATTTTTGATATATTCCCTGTACTATTCCAAAGGATTTACTGTGTCATGGTTCACATGAAGTACACAGTGAGATTTATAAAGCTCCCAGAAATTACACTGAAATTCTCTGAACTCTGTACAATACAACCACCAAAAAGGAACACAAAGACATCAATTTGGAAGTTAAAGTTCTTGGAAAAAACATTGTATTCCTTTCTGGCAAATACAGTATTAAGCATTTTAATCTGTTCTTGCATTTTAATTTTTTCACTAATTTTTAAAACTTTAAGCAACACAGCGAAGCAGAACTGAATGTGTTAAGGGCTAGTGATTTGTGGGATTAATGTGAAGTGTTCCACAGCAGCAGGAAAATAACTGATCTTTTATTCCTAGATGTATCTTTTTGAAGTGTACAAATATGGTTTAGCTTTTATAGTCTTCTCTTCTTTGTTAGTGAAATTTAGCTATTAAGCTGCTGATCGCTGAACACTATTCCACCTTAATTGTTGAGTCTTTAAATGGTACCTCAGAATCATTATTTATAACCCGTTGTCTGGTAGTCCCTTCCTTCCTCCCTTTTTTCCATTTCTGGGCAGCACATGTAATTAGGAAAAATTATTGGGAGGTTCTTCTGGTGCAGTAGGAATTTATTGTCATGCAAGTGAAGTACCATCTATTGATAAAACAGTTGCTAGTATATTTATTGCTTCATCTATTGCTTTTTAGCATTATCTACCAATATAACAGGAGGATCCCATATATGTCTAAAAGACCTGAATGCTGCATATCCATTTTGTACTAGTAGCAAAAAAAGCTCCTACTCTGTCAGTAATCACTGTTCAAGATGCCTCGTGTTTTTCAATATATATATATATATAAACTTCTAAATATTTTATCATCTTAGATCTGTCCCGTGACACAGTTCAGAAGGCAAGGAGGTTTTATTTGGTTTAAGTAGTGGGAAAATACATAGTGTAGGACCTTGGTTCTGTAGTATTGCTGCTTATCTTCTTAATTCTACATTTGCAGGCATGAATAAATAACATAAAACAGTAAAAACTGTTTAATTAGGTCAAGTTGTTTTTTCAGAATTTCTAAGGAGAGTGAGTGGAGGCTTAACCATATACAACTAGCTTTCAAAGGCAGTGTCAATATGCTTTTATTAGACTTTATCAATTTTTACAGGCAGGCATAGCCAAGCAGGATTGCATTCCTATACCCACAACACTAGTTTTTGACTTTTGATTTATCAAACATTTTTGGCAGCTATTTATAGGGACCTTGTGAGCTTCCATGGTTTCCGTAAGCTGAATTGTCAATATTAAACTTCAGGCTCTTCTCTTTCAGAATAACAGAGGAAATGGTGTCACCATAGGAGTTGAAAGCTGAGTTTCAGTACACAGCCTTTTTGGCTGTAATTGCCAAAGCATGGGTCTCTGAATATAATGGTTGTCTGAAGCTCTGCCTGGAATTCTGACAGGCTGAGATTCACCAGTTAAATGGTCACTGTCCCAGTTTCCAGCCTTGACAGCCTGATGGATGTGGGCATCTGATGTGGTCTTGCATTGCTGCAAGTTTCAGATCTGCACCTTGAGAAGAAATGACTACTTTGGTCCAGTCTAATTTGCTGTGCAGAAAACTGCAGCAGTTGAGAATTTGATTGCCAGATGAGTCTGACATCTCCTCTTTGGGTTGGGAGTGTTGGTTAGTGTGTCACTAGGGCTTTTAGACAGAAATTTCTGAAAGGGAAGATTCAGCATCTCTACTGCTCTCAAATTTCCAGTCCAGTTCAGCTTTCATCCCTACATATTCCTTGTACATGTGCTGTACCTGTCTTAGGGAGTGTATCATATAAGGCTTAAGTTAACTCTTGGAATGCAGTGTTTAAATTGTAACATCAATTATAAGTCATAACTGTGTCTGTAATTTTAGGCATGAGCTGCTGGAGGAAGCCAGAAGACAAGGTTTGCCTTTTGCACAGTGGGACGGGCCTACTGTGGTTGTGTGGCTGGAGGTAAGTGGTCCTTCCAAAATAAACAAAAAGCCCCCTCAGTGTACAGCCTTCTAAAGAATTGAAGGTTTTGAATCTAGGACTGCTTCCCAGATCCTGTGTACTCCCTGTTTTTGTGTTCCAGCTGTGGGTTGGGATGCCAGCCTGGTATGTGGCTGCTTGCCGAGCAAATGTGAAAAGTGGTGCTATCATGTCAGCCTTGTCTGACACGGAAATACAGCGGGAAATTGGGATCAGCAACCCCCTGCACAGGCTCAAGCTGAGGCTGGCCATCCAAGAAATCATGTCACTGACAAGCCCATCTGCCCCTCCCACCTCAAGGACGGTAAGGAAAATGATCCAGCATGGAACATCTTTAGAATTTCCCAAAATTTCACTCTAAATATGTAGCAGGAAGGATTTGAGCTTCTACTAAGAATTTATGGAAACATTAAGTTGTAGAACGAACACATTATTTAAATACAGGATGTTTCTTCCTTTCATGGGAATTAAATGAAGGAATAACTCTATTTTCTTTCTCAAGGGAAAGGGAAGTTTATTTCATTGTGTGTAATGCAAAATATTTAGGGGGTGTGTTATTTGCCTCATCTTTTGGCCTTGGCAAAATTTACAATACAGACGAAGTAGATATGTGTGTGCAGAAATTTGTAAAATAGTTGGAGGTTTTTTTAATCCATATATAAGGCCATCAACTCCAAATAATTCAGACTGTATAAACTAGGAGTTCACCTGTCTCTCAGGAGTCTGTGTGCCCTGCAATCTAAAGTTATTCCTGGGATTACATACTAGATTACAAATGTGTTTTTTGGATTAGAACAGAGCCAAGTGTTTACCCATTGATTAAATCAGTGTAAGCTATTGATGATGTTCAGCTTTGTTAATCTCTGAAGGAATTTGGTCCCTGTCAGTAGCTTTTATTGCATGCCATGACTTTCAGTAGATGTACCTGTACTTGACTTTAGCCACCATTGCTTTGTCCATGCCTGCTCCTTACATGTACCGATTGCTTATTTGTTCTGCAACCTCTCCTCTTTGTTACTGCTTTCCTTTCACTGGATGGGATTGATTCCCTGTGGGCTCATATTAGACCACGGGAAATGTCTGGGTAACACATGAAGAAATGGAAAATCTTACAGCCACACAACAAACGGTTAGTTTACAGTGTTGCCACTTCTGTTCTTTAGAGTGCTTTTCCCACTTTTTGAACTTTCAAATCAAGTACCTTTTGATCTTTTTTTTTCTTCCTTTTTTTTTCTTTTTTTTTTTTTTCAAATTAACACACTAAAATTCTGGATTGTTGCTTCTTCTAATTATTAACCTTGTAACCTGCATCTTGAGGGTTTTTTTTCCCAGAAGGGAATAAAAAAAAGTAAATCAGCATTGATAAGATTGTAAACAAAACTCTAATCTGTAAAATGGAGCTCTGATTTGATTAACTAATGGCCAAATTGAAGTATTGGTGCAGAAATTTCTTCTCTTCAGAAAACTTAATCAGTAGATGGGTTTTGCAACTTCCCATATGAAATAAGTGCCTTCTCTATGATTTTTTACATTGCATGATGCTTGCTTTTTCTGGATTTTTTCTGGTATGCAGTAGAAGTAGAGTCTTGCAGTGCACCATTAACTTTGATCTCCTTACTAAACTTAAATACTAATATGTGTGTGTTCTTTTGCTTTTCTAACCACATAACAGGAAGATGAGGAGGGAAGCTGGGCTCAGGTTGGAAACTTTATCTAATATTACAGACTGTATGTAAACTGTCACAATCATTAGAGCATAAAAGAATCTGTTTTTCCTTTATAGCAGCCTCTTTTAGTGATTTTTTTGTATGTGGCTTGGGGATTGGGAGAGGGGGGAACTACAGTCTTATCTCTGTACAATGCATACTTGGAAGGCACCTATTTATATTTAGGTGATTTCAATATTTTAGTGTTTTGGCTCTGGGAAGCCAGAATTCCAGGAAAAATAACTGCTCTGTGCAGGAAGTCCCTGTTAAACCCAGCCACCATCACAGGTGTGCTGCAAAACACTCTGAGCCTAGATAGTTAAGTAGATTTCTATGCACTAATTCTGTAATCCTCCTTGATTAATTGTTTCGTCTTAAAGTGGTGACAAATCCTAATTGTATTTTCAGGCATTGATATAGTTGGGTATTTATACAGGGATATAAACAAAACTCAGGATTTACCCATGCCCCATATCTTTGGACAGCGTAGTCTCTTCTTGCTTGGCTGCCCTCCAGCTTAAACCTGGTTAAGTCCCATTAACTAAGTCTCTGATACTCATTTGCTCATTGTCAGTGATAACAATCACAGCTTGGCTCCCTGTGCCCACAGTAACTTCACTCTGCTACCTACTGTGGCCCTGTTCCTTTCTGGAAGGTGTTTCCTCCAGAGGGGAAATGAAGCTTTTGACTTTAAAATGCACAGGGGGAGAACAAAAGGAATTATTACCCTTTTGAAAAAAGGAACTGCTGGGTTTTGCTGCTCAAGGAATTATTAGATATATAGTTACAAACTCTTACAAACTCTCATCTTTTTAGATGTTTTCTCTAAAAAATGCCTGGTTGATATGCAGATCAAAACTGCAATCAGAAAAGTCTCTTGGGATAAGAACTGGGATTTACAATGGCTTGGTTTTGAGTAGTAGGTTTTTATCAGTTTGTGAAAATAGCTAAGTGTATTAAAAACTCTCTGCAGTTATATTTTTGATATCTTGTCTTTAAAAAGTCACATGACAAATAAGATTCCCCTCCAGTTATCAAGACAGTCAGCATTTGTAACATCTCAACACAATGAAATTCTATGGCTTTTGCTATCAAACCACATAGGTTAGCCTTTTTTTACTTTTATTAGCTCTTGCATGTTTTTTTCATACTATTCCTTGAAATATATTAGGGCAGTTTTACTTGCTGATCTGCATATCTGAAGTTGCTTTTCTCCATGAGGATTCCTTCTTCAGAAAACACATATGTAGTATTTAGTATTTTGATGTGCTTATCTTCATAGGCTAAGAATTAAGTAAGCAATTTCTTTAAAATATGCTGTCTAAAATAGCTTTTTCTTTTATTTCTCATTTTTTTAAATTTTTTTAAAAAAACAGACACTTGCCTATGGTGATATGAACCATGAGTGGATTGGCAATGAGTGGCTCCCAAGCCTGGGACTCCCTCAGTACCGCAGCTATTTCATGGAATGTCTTGTGGATGCTCGAATGCTGGACCATTTAACTAAAAAAGACCTGCGTGGGCAGCTCAAAATGGTGGACAGCTTTCACAGGTAAAGAGATTTAAGCTGGAGGTCTAACTTTCAGTAAATGTTTTCGTTGTCTCTAAGGTTTTTTCCATTATTTTTCTCTCTTCTGAACAGAAACAGTTTTCAGTGTGGAATCATGTGCCTACGAAGACTGAATTATGATCGAAAAGAACTTGAAAGAAAAAGGGAAGAAAGCCAGAATGAAATCAAGGGTTAGTGTGGTGCCTTGACCTCAGTCTGATTCTAACATGTTTTCACTGATCAGCCTCAAAAATTTATTGACAAAGAAAAGTCATCAGAGCAAGGAATCATTTATAAAATACTAAGTGTTAAATGAAGGAGATGTCTGGATGTAGGCCCTGACCAGTGAATGATGAAACACATAATTAAATCATTTACTTGTGCAGAGATGTGCTACAAATGTGAGCAGTCTTACTGCTCTGAAGTTTGAAACTAAATGTTTTAGGAGGATGGGGGGGGTTTCCTTATTTTTTCTTTTTTTTTTTTTTTTCCCCGAACAGTTTATAAGAAAATATCCAAGTAACTTAGGTATTTAGATCTTCCAAATTCGTGGTAATTATAGAACAAGGAGGAACAAGAGAAAACAAGGTGGAAATTCAGTTTTCCAAGACTTCCCATAGAAATTCTGTTCCCTGCCTAATATCAGAAGTCTTTTCTGATATCTGAGACTAAAAATTTGGGGTTACCTTGTATACAGCTTGCTTAGCAGCCTCAGTGCCTGCTCTTCTTCTCCTTTCTTGTTACAGTATGAAACGCCTTCCAACAAACTTATGTTTACTTTCCACTTGAAATTTATGATTGGGGTGATTTTGCTCAGAAAAGTTGTATTGTTATAAATCTGCCAACATTTTTTTTTTCCTCCACAGATGTGCTTGTGTGGAGCAATGAAAGGATGATCCATTGGGTTGTGTCCATCGGTCTTAAAGAATATGCGAATAACCTTGTCGAGAGCGGAGTTCATGGTGCTCTTGTGGCCTTAGATGAATCCTTTGATTACATTGCATTAGCTCTCCTATTGCAAATCCCCACCCAGAACACACAGGTAAGCAAGCAGAAGCTGCTTTATGGCTGGTAAGAAGGTTAAAAATGGAACTGACTGGGTTTTTTTCATAGGTATGTGCATGGCTTTCTATTCTCAGCTCTAGAAAGTTCAGAAATGGAAAATTGTCCATTATCATATAAGAGAAAAAACTTAAAATTATGCTTTTCTTATAGCTTTATGCTTGTTAATAACAATTTTCATTGGTAGATTTGAGGGGAAAGAAATGGTTTAAGTATTTTCCTCATTGCCCATATTCACAACACAAGTGTACTACTCATCATTTTTGTTGTTTGCTAATTTTTACTCTGAAATAATTGTCAGAATCATGAACTTTAATGTCATAGCTAAGGGAAAGTTAAGTCTTCCTTAAATTTTTAAAAAGTTACAAATTAAATTGTAACTTTTCAAGTATCAGGTATGTTTATTAATCTGATAAGAAAGTATTAAACAGCTTGGACTCTATTACGTTTTTTAAATCATTATAAGTTACTAATTACTAATTTTTTGGAATTAATTACCATTTCTTTCATACCACAAACTTTAGGCTCGTGCTGTTCTGGAGAGGGAATTTAATAACCTTCTTGCTATGGGCACTGACAGAAGACTTGATGAAGTAAGTTACTTGAGCTGTTGACCCATTTTACAGTCCTGGAAACTTTATCAGAACTGTTAAATGAAAGAATTGAGCTTGAACCTTTTGAAGCTTTTGACAGGATAGTGACAGAAACCTTAACTTGAAACTCCTTGCCTTTGAGAGTTTCTAAATATGGCAGAGTTTGTATATTTAGGTAAGATGACTTTGAATATGAAAATATGGAGAAGATTTGCAAGTTTGTTTTTGTAGCTTGTGTGGTTAATATCTAATAGCAGCACTTTGGGCTGAATCTTCGTTATCTAAAATATGAGAAAATTAGTGACCATTGTGGCAAATTAACAAAGTTAATAATAGAGAAAGACACTTTGTTCTAACAAGCAGTATTTCAAATAGCTTAGAGTGTTTTTTGAGAAATCTTGTGGTGTTAATTTTGATTAATACTAGAGTAGAGGATCACCAGGTGTGTTCACACATCAAAGTGATTTCTGACGGACAGTCTGTGATCTTAAATGTATAAACTTCACTGAAATGGAATGAGTATAAAACTTTGGGTGTGAGACTATTTTGTAGACCCTGTGAACTCTTAGCATAAGGGAGATAGTGCTGCATCTTTAACCTTTTCAGTTGCTCTGTGCTGTAATTCTGTGAACAGTTTCAAGCAGTTGTTACTTTCCCAAGGCTCTGGGCTGCCTCCTCTTTGGTGCTGATGGGAGTTTATGTAGTGAAAGTGGTTCAGATTAAGGCTGAAGTGGCAAACCCACAAACCTTGGTTATTTTTGTGTTCATCTCTTGCCTAATGCACTTGTTGCAGCCCTTCTGTGGCACAGCCTGATAGCTCTGTTCTTTGTGTGCATCTCTACTAAGTTTTAATAACATATCAGAAAACAGCCTGATTGTTTTCTGAGCTACTTTTCCTTAGTGACTTCAAACTGCAAAAGGAGTTTGGAGGGAACAGATGTTTTCTCTGTTCTAGTGACACAGGGCAGTTTGATCACGGAGATCTCTTCAAATAACGTAGATGCTTGTCTCCTAGTTCTAAAAGGGAATGCATTTGAGGTAAAATGGCATTCAAAGGATTGAACTGTTTCTAAATGGGAAGCTGGCAAATGGAGTGCCTAGTGGGTATATTTGCATGGACACAATACCTTCACTGCAAAAGATGGGTTTGAAAGTGGGACTCAAACTGTATTTAGTAAATGCAACATTATATTCCTGAAGTCAGAATATGACTTGAAAGATGCAGGTGTATTAATGGGTGAAGGAAAATGCACTTGGGTAATTTCAAGTTAAATTTACCCAAGTGCTTAAGCAAAATACTGTGTGACAATACAGTATGTATTACACTTGCTATTTCCTCACAGTTAACTCTGTGTTGATACATTTACTTAAGATTGTCATTAATCATTTTAATGTCAGTAACAATCCTTCAATAACAATCCTCCATTTTTGGCATTGGTAATGTTGTTTATCAATATGACAGGATGATGATAAGAGCTTTAGGAGAGCACCTTCATGGAGAAAGAAGTTTAGACCAAAGGACATCAGAGGTTTAGCTGCTGGATCAGCAGAGACTCTTCCTGCAAATTTCAGAGTTACAACCTCAATGTCTTCACCCTCTATGCAGCCAAAGAAGATGCAGATTGATGGTATTGGTTTTGTATTGTTTTAAGCAGGATGTGCTTTCTTTGCCTAAGATTTACAGGGGAATCAAGTTCAAATGACCTTTTTGCTGCTTAAAAGCATCTGCCTTGTGCATGGTTTTATGTTTAACACTGTGTTTAACCATAGAGTGCTTTGCCATTTCAGGAAGGTCTACTAGATGTGGAGTTTCTTTTTTACATCATTGGAGAGTAACAAAATCAGAATTATAGTTAGAAATAAGTGTAATTTAAACTAGGAAAATAAAATGACATTTTAGTAGAAGTCATTTAGTAATCTAATGCATAATTAGTAATTAGCAGCAATTAAGACCAATGGAAGTCCCACTTCTGAAATGCAGTAACATGCATTCAAGAATGATGTGAGAAAACTCACTCAGATAATTTTGAGATTATTAAAACTTGAGTAACCTGTGCATTACCCCCAAAGTGGTCACTTAAATATTGATCATATTTGAAATCACTGCTTCATTGGTGTACACTTAATGGTCTATATGTGTGCACAGACACTGATATGAATTGAAAAAACAACAAAAGCAAACCCCAAAAATCTCCTCTGGAAGTGGAAGTTGATTACATCTCACATGAGGGATCTTGTCTGTTTAAAAACAGCCTCTGTAGTATCATGAGAATGAACTTTGACTTGAATTTGTTTTACAGAAGACAGCTGTTGTTGGAACAGACAAAATGTATTTCGTTGGATGAGAACTGTAGCATAATCTATCAGAGTTGTCTCAGGTTCTGAAAATTGTATTTATGAGTAAAACTCAAAGAAGGAATCTTTGCATTTGATGAGCTCTTTTAAATCTTAGATACTGTCACTAGCACAAAATATTTTCAAGAATTCATGTGGAAAACTCCATAAGTTAAAATAAGTGAAGTCTTTGCTAGGTGAAGTCCCTTTCTGAGATGTTAAATAAATACTTATGAACTACATAAAGTAGTAAATAACTTATAAAATTACCTTTGCCTATGTCTGCGTGCTTGTTGGCCTGCAGGATTTTTAGAATTCTTTGTTAGCCACTGAAACTGGGAGTGGTTAATATATAGAGACTGTAAAACAAATTCTGCTTTTCTAACTTGTAACCTTAGAGCTAGGTGAGTACCAGAGCTGTAATCACATTGCTGTGATGGTTTGGGGTTTGTTTGTTTCTTTCTTTTTTTGAAAACTAACATGCATGCTGTGTTCTGCATGTCTTCCCATGCTTCTTGAAATAGGCAGTGTATCAGGAACACAAAGATTGGATTCTGCTACAGTAAGGACCTACTCCTGTTAAAGCCTTCTCCTGGTGAGTAAAGTTGATAGGTCTGCTGGTAAAGCAGCTATTTATGGAATAAAACAGGTATTTTATTACAGTGGTTTTACACTAAGGAAACTGTTCAAGTTTTCAGAGTAGATTTATGCTGAAAATCTAGAGCTTGTTTCCTACAACGAAGAGTGAGTGTTTAAATACTTAGTTTTGTCAATATTGTAGCTTTTTGAAGGTTTTCGACAGCCTATGCTATGTAGAAAGTGTTGAAATCAAAAATTGGGTGAAACACAGCTACTGAAAGTGGGAGGGAGGGAAGAGAACTAAGTTGGGCATGTAAAGGAAAGAAAATAGTTTAATCTGTGACACTTCACTTCTGATTGTTGATCTTTCAGGGTCTTTGCTTGGTTAAAGTTATCCCACTAAAACACACTTCAATATTGAATGGTTATAGGGATAATTCCATAGTTCTCCAGTTCTTGGATACTCCAAGCCAGTATGGTTGCTTAGGTTGGATTTAGGTGATTGCAGCCTAAATTTGGAGGAGTGCTGACAATAAAAGGCAGCTTGATAGCACAAGTATAACACAAAATACATGTATTGTGGCTTGTGAAAGATCTGTAGTCCTGCCTTCCTAGAGGATTTTAAATGTTTCTTCAGCAGCCTTTGCTGTATTTTCTCATGAACAGAATTTCTCTCATTTTGCAAGTAAGTCAGGAAACTAAATTTTTTAATATTTTCTATAATGGATTTAAAAAAAAAAATCAGTGAATCTTTCTCCTTTGTTGGTATTTTTTATGGACTGCAAATTGTCTCTTCTTGCACCTTCTTTCTTCTTACTGGTGGCATCCCTTCCAACTCATGTACTGGCTGCCTTTTCTTCAAATTCTGCCTTTTTGCCTGTAGGAATTTAGTCCTAAAAAGTTCTTATGTATGAAATTCTGAGAAGGGAAACTCACGGATTTTCTGTAGTTGGGTGACCTGGGAAGAAAATCTTCCAAGCAGAAATATTTGACCTTATGTGCTTTACTTTGCATTGCAATAGGAGATTGCAGAAGGCAATAAAGTTCCATACAGCATGGCATAGCAATATTTTGATACATGACTGCTGCACTACTGAGCTGCTTGTGAAAGTGCTAGAATGAAATGTTAAAAACCTGCTAATGGAATTTTTTGTGTGTTTCTTTTCTTGTTTGTTTTTTTTTTCTTGTTTGTTTTGTTGTTGTTTTTGCAGTTTACCCACACTATTTCTACCGGTGATATGCAGCATTTTGAACATTTGGAACCCTTAACCTGTTAATACTTGTTAAATGGACACTTTGAGATATTTTATTACAGAGTTTTTAATTAGCAAATAAATTCATGAGTACTATAGAGAAAATATTTTAGAATCTAAATGTTTCCTATATTTATGTGACTTCTCATTTATATAGTTACTTACTTTTTCAGTTTCTATTCAGTCTACAAATCAAATCATTGCTGATTTTTTATTCTAATTTTAGTCTTTCCAACTGAATGTACTGTAATGCTTGTATGTATATGTCCCTATGAGCAATATAGGGTTTTTGTAAATTATGCAGTTACTGTAATTATCATTGTTTTTTAATAATGAAACTGAAGGTGAAAAGGATTTTAATACCTTTGTAAAAGTATCATGACACCAAGCAGTATATATTTTGTCTTTTTGGAGCTGTTAGACCTGAAAACAAGCCCAGCTTTTTTTCAGATATTGATGTAGAAGCTGCGGTACACAAGTGTTGTTCTCCTCAGAGCTGTATCTTTCCACTCAGAGGACTTGTCAAGTAGTGGCAGTTTGACTTTATTTAAAATAGAATTTGTTTTAAGAGCTGGGAGGAACTGAGGAGAACACGTTTTAGAAGTGATTTTGACTCGCTCATAACACACTCTGCTGTATTTGTAAAGCGACTCTTCACAGTGACTGAAAACAAGCCATAAACCAAGAACTGTTTGTATTTTTTCTTTTCCTTAAGTGAGGAAGACAGACTTCATAATGATTCCTGGTCATAAGCCACAGGCCACAGAGAGGTTTTTAGGGGTTTTTTGATGGAAAACACTTGTGGAAAGATGCTGGTGGAACTAGTTTTAATGGACCAATCTTAAAGCACTGCAGCCTCATGTCAAGTGAGTAGGGAAAGATGAAAGTACAATGGGCTGAAACCTCAAGCAGTGCATCTTCTAATAAAGGCCTTACTTTTCTTATGTAAGTCATCTTATATGTTTTGTAAACTTGTTCTAAAGAGTTGTCTGGACTTTAATTTTGATGGGTGTTGCCATTTTGGACTGTATGAATAGAAAATGTATCTGATACTTGTAAATGGCATATTAAAAAGCCAGCAAGAATCTGTTCAGATGGTGCATTATTTATTATGCAACAATATATATAGCATGTCTTTTTTCTCTTATTTTGTTTTCCACTTTTAACTTTGCTTGTAAAACTGAAATTCATTGTTATTGTTCTGGGTTTTTTTCTATTAATCTTTTGTGTATCTTCAGATTATGTAACAATATGTACAGTCTACTTTTGAACTATTTTTATCACAGTATTATTTATTGCTTTCTTTCAATAAAGTACTGATGCATTTTCCACTGCCAATAAAACACTATGGAAAAGCTGAGATCTAATTGTGTGCAGGCAGAAACTTTTGCGGTGAGCGGACATGATTGTTTGCTGCCCTGTAGATCTTGTTTCAGATGATGACCTTTCTCCAGTAGGAAAAAAGTACTCCATTAGAGGTGACATTTACTTTGGAATTGTTCAAGTTCACATGCATTAATCAGTTTTGGAAAAAACCAGTTTTCTGAAGAAAACGGCTTTATTGCCTCCTTCTACTCATAGTTACAGCTGTGATTTGCTTTTAAAAATGGTAACAAAAACTACCACACAACTTCAGTGTGTTCTGGTCCACGTGACGGAGATTGAAGTGCTGTTCTAGGTAGCACCAAGAGCTGCTTTGTTAATAAAATGAGATTATGACCATAGTGATATTTGGGGAGAAACACAGGAGTCGAGGGAACCAATATAATATTGGGTCACAATAGGGCTGTTTATGTCATTTAATACATTTGTAAACCATTTCTTGTGTAGAAGAGAAGACAGAAGGATAAAGCTACAGAATAATGGAAGCAGTGGTGAAGCATATTCCATCATGTCCTCTGGATAAACAGAAGGAATGCCTGGAATGGAGAAATATTGTCATTGATGCTCTAAACGTTGTTCAGTAATGCATCTGTTTGTCTGGCTTGTCTGTATGAGTTGCTCTCTGTTAATTTGCAGACTCTTTTATATTTTCAGAGAATCTATCTTCTTAGAAAAAGCTGAAATGGAACTGCAGAAGGAGCTCCTGACTCACTGTTCAGCTGATCTTCACTGTTTAGAGAAAAAATTGCATAGACGTTGCTGGTCACTGATGTAATAGTGGGTGTTCAAAGTCGTGTATTGTTGCTTCTCAAAAGTGAAACCAATGCGGGGTAGACTTGTAAAATGTGAAAAGAAAATGCATTTATTATTTTAAGTGTTATGGAACAATGGAACTGATATGAGAGCTAGAATAAATGAGTGAAATGGCAAAAAGCTTTCACGAACTGGCATAACTGTGTGGTGGCTTCCTTCTGACTTATGCAGCTAAACTGTCTTGGGGAAAACAAGAAAAACATTTATTTTAATTTTCATAACACACACAGACCCCCTCCCTGCCCAAATTAAAAACAGTGTGGAAAAGGCACATGGGTATGTTATAGTAATCTGTAAATAACACTTGATTAAATAGAGCTTTTTGTAAATGGCCCAATGTCTTTAAAGGCTTTAGTTGGGAAAAGTGCTGTAAAAATTATAGTTGGCATTCTGTCTGCAGTCAGGAGATGGTAGAATTATCTGAGTGAACTTCAAACTTGCAATTTTTACATGTTTAGAGGACAGGGAATCTCAAAATAGATGTTTTAACTTTGTCTTGCTCCTTTCAAATGGCTATACAATTAAAGCACAGGAAGTTGCTTTAGCAATGTTTTAGGGACAGGAGTGACTTAGGCCAAAATTTGGAGAAAGGTGAAGTAATGAAGTAGGATAAATTCAAACAATTTATTCTTGGAACTTGGTAAAGATTGGGAGGGAGGACCAACAAAGTAAATTTTCAGATAAATAAAAATTGATACCATGTTATGTTTGTGGGTGATAATTTTTGAAGAAAGTAAAGAGTTACTTGGCCTTTAAAGGAAAATTTTTCACTTTCCATTGTCAGCATTGTAGATTTGGTGCACTGCTTAAACTCAAGTTATTCTAAATTTAATTAATTTCATTTTTTGTTAATAGTAGGGTTTTTTGGGGGCAAAAATGCAATTGTTGTTAACTTAGGTAGCAGTGCCTTGTGGTTTTGTATGGGATGTTGGAACAGATGGGTGAAAAGTGGTATGCATAAATGTGGTTGGTATTCCTACCTGTACATAGAGGGACATGTGAAGACTCCAAAAGGGCCCAGAACAGAGCCAGAAGTAATTCCCAAAGGATTCAGACTCTCTGAGGCTGTGTTCTCTCCAGCAGGCAGCCTTATGAGAGGAAATTTAGCCCAATTTTTAAAGTATACTGTATTTAGTTTATAGGGGAAATTGCACTATATTTAATCCAGAAAAAAAGTCATTGAGCTTGTTTATACTGTGAAATGGCTACACTTGGAATTAATAAATATTCCTGTTCACCTGGATTTTTTATCTTACCCTTTATTACAATTTGTGTATTTATTTGTCATGTTTATTTGCTGGAAATGTCACTCCTTGGAGTGTGTTACTCCTCCTCCAAAAGACAGAGTGGGCAAACAAACAACTCCAATTACAGTGTTAAGGCTGCATTTTTAAACCCATCTTGTTTTCCTTTTGGCATCTGTTCAGTTCAGATCCCTTGGGAGCAGCCAAACTTTTTTGCCTAGTGATGAAAGTGATGGAAACTGGAAAACCCTTGGGACAGGGTAGTTGTGGTTTCCAAAATGTGATGGGACAAAAGTATTAAAATTGAAAAAGAGAAAAAAAAAGGAAGAGGGGAAGGGGGGAAGAGGAAAGAGAGGAAGGAAAAAGTGAGGAAAAAGAAAAGAAGGAAAAAAAGGAGGGGAAAAAAAGAAAAGGGAAAACTAAGAAGGAGGAAAGAAAAAGTGAGAAAAAAGGAAAGAAAAAATGAGGGGGAAAAAAGAAAAAGGAGGGGAAAAATAAAACGGAAGAAAAAAAGATGAAGGAAAAAGTGAGAAAAAAGGAAGGAAAAAAATGAAGGGAAAAAAAGAGGAAGGAAAAAAGAGAAAAGAGTAAGGAAAAAAAAGAAGAAAAAAGAAAAAAAGTAAAAAAGAGGAAGAAAAAAGGGGGGAAGGAGGAAGGGAAAAGAAAAAAAAAGCGGAGGGGAGAGAAAAACGAGGAGAAAAACAGAAAAAGTCTGTTCCAAGCTGCCCCAAATTCCCCTGGCCGTTTTAAAACTCCTGATGGTGCATTTTTGGAATAGCGCTTGTACAGCGCATTCTTCACAGCGATTTAAAGAAATAGGGGAAGGAGCAGCTGCCCTACCGCCTCCATGGCAGTGCCTCCCATCCCGAGTGCCGCTCCCGGGGGGCGGTGTTCTCGGTACAGCCCCGCCCGGGGGCGGAGCGCGGCCCGTCCCGTTCCCACCTGGAGCCGGGAAGAGGAAGTGGGAGCTGGGGAGAAGCGGAAATTGCAGCAGCCGGAGCCGCCGCCAGCCCGAGAAGCACCGGGGTGATCCAGGGCCGAGGAAGAAGAGGAGGACGAGGAGGCGGCGGCACCGTGAGCGCGGTGGGGCCGGGCGGGAGGGGACGGCGAGGGGCGGCCGCGGAGCATCCTGCAGGACCCCGAGATTCCTTCTGCCGGCAGGGGCACAGTCTGGGCTGCGTGGCTCCGTCTCCTTTTTTTAATGTTATTTAATGTTATTTAAACTCGGCGAAGCAGCGCAGCGCTGGTCACTAGAGGGGAGAGGAAGCGTCTTCTCCGGGACGCGCCACGGTGATGCCGCACCGGGGCTCTGACTGCCGCACTCCTGAGCCCCCTTTTCCTCGGTGCCCTCCATCCAGCTTTACTTCTCTTCACCTTAAAGCCTCGGCGTGTTCCTCGAGGAGCTCGTCCCAAGGCCCTGGGAAGGGAAGAGTTCCCCAGGGCGCCGCTAAAGGCGCTGGGTAGCATGATGTGTCCGCCCATGAGTCAGGAGCGGGATTGGCCGTATAAATCTGCGGTGTAGATTTAGGGTTGGTTTGTGTTCGAGCCGCAGCGTTTTGCTTTTTCCTTCAGAAATTTGGCCACGTGAACCACTGTGTCACAGACAGATCATGTTTCTCCTCGGTCTGCCCTGGAACTGATGCTGAAAGAGAGGCCGAAACCAGCAAAAATTCCTGCTGGCTCTGCACTGAGATCCCTTGTCACTGCGCTGCTTCGCTCTCCCGTTTGTAATTCACTTCGTATAGTGCAGGGTTGAGGTGTGGAAAAATGTTGGCGTTTATCCACATAATTTAGGAAGAAACATGTTGGATTCTGGATTTTGCATAGAGGAGCGTATGAAATTCTTCTTTGCTGCGCTATTGTTTGTGAGAGTTCCAGGAGGAAGCAATGAAATCTAGGCTTAAGGATCCAGCTTTTGTTCTTTTTAATATCTGAGCACAGCTGAATTTAGGAAACACATCAGTCAAGTGAACGTATGAATCAAATACATGGGGAAAAAAGAGTTTTGCACTAAATATGTAGAGATTCACCACATGCATATGTACCTGTGCTTCAGCTCTTGTCACTTGAATTCCATTTCTAAACATCTTGCACAGAGGGTCGAATACAAAGCCATCCCTCTTAAGAGAAGTTACAAAGTTAAAACCTGGATTCCATGTTGAATTTTGTTATTGAGCTGTTTTGAATCTGCTTTCCAAGGCTTTGCAGTTTTTTTGATAAGAGATTAGATTTTAATAGGAAAATGTAGGAAAATCTGAAACACAATCACATCATAGAAGGCTTTAGACAGGATATTCTAAAGACAGTGATAAAATACCAATGTTCTAAAGGTTTATGTTATAAACTTGTAGTTTCACAAGTTTTCTGCATATGAAGTACTGTTATAAATGCTAGTTCCTTAATAGCCAGAGGAATTTGGAGATGGGAGACCTGAAGGAGCATAAGGGGAAATATACTTATCAGGATGTCATCTGCTCTGCTTTTACACCCTCCTCCCAGGCTGCTTCATCATTTGTTTCCTTGGTGTTTGACTATCAGTTTTTCAGTTGTTCTCATTCATGTTGCCAGTCCTGAAATTTCTGCAATGCTCCATAAAACTGGCTCATCAGCTCATTCTGTCAGGCTGTAGAACAAGCCTAACAGAGCGAGTGGTGGACTTTACCCATGGATTATTATTTATGTATTTAAAAGGGAGTTTTCATTCCACCTACTGAATTATGCTTGTGTGAGTGAAATAGCCTGTGACAATCATCCTTATAATCTATTCTTAATTAGAAAGATAAAGGTAAGTGGACAGAATGATGGTATGTGAAAAAACTGAGCTCTAGTAGAATAGCAAAGAAAAACCCTTTCTGTGACGTGTATCTGAAAAGCTGGGAGAACAGGAGGCTTGTTTTTTGATGTTTTAGTTTTGCTTTTTAGAATTTATTTGTCTTGACTTACTTGGAACAAAGGGTGTAACACACAGCCACATTCCAGGCAGTTCAGGAATTCTGCTAACTAGTCACGTTCAAAAGTGTTAATTAAAAGCATCCAACTTGATACTCCACAGGGGATAAAGTTTCCCGAAAGTGAGATGCTCCAAGTCATTAACCTCTTGGAAGTGCTGAATGTTGTTTCTGGATGCCATTGCTTGCCTTTTTATGAGTCTTGCTTCCTGCTCTCGGTACTCCAGCTCTTTGCCTCTGTTTCTCCTGAAATTAGGCAAGATGCTGAGTTTGTTCATGTGTCTCAAAACACAGAAACTTATGTTCTCTGTTACTGGATTGTGTACAGAGTTGTTTGGATTTCTGTCATCATGCTGAAATTCATTACACAACACATGAGGTTGTGCAGGTATAATGTAGGTTATACAGCCTAAAGAACAGTATTGTTCTCATCATTATTAATGACTGGGGGAAAACCACCTATTCCCACACCTTAACTATATGCACAGGATCTAGAATTAGAATTTGGAAGTGGATGTTGGCTTGGAAACCTGTTTGAGGAGAAGTCTTTTGAGTGCAGTGAAGGTAGATGAAAAGACATTAATTTGAGCAAGGGAAGGCCTCTTTGTTCTCTTTGAAATCATGTCAGTGATGGCTCCTAACTTTTTATAGTGCAGATAGGTCAAATCTACGTTCTCTGCAAGTACAGCTTCTGGTGGTGTGGTTAAATAACATATTTTACTGGGAATTTTGGGTTGCATCTCCAGCAGCTTGCACATAAATGAGTTGATATGTGACTAGAGTGTGACCCTGCTCATTCTTTTGGTCTTGCAGATGTGGAAAGCGACTGCAGGCCACACTGTTTCTGTCAACCAGGATGATGGAGCTGATGACTGGGAGACAGATCCAGACTTTGTGGTATGAATTTTGGATTTTACTGACTCAGTGGGAGTGTGTTATGTGGCATGTTAAGAGTAACTCTTCGGGGTGGGAGCTGTGTCTCGGCAAAAGAAACTGATAGGTGCATGTTCCTAGAAGTGAAGTACAAGTGAAGCTGGTAGTAGCTGCCTTTCTAACTCTTCTGATCTCAGTGACTGCTGGAGGCTTTTCTGTGACCTCTAAACTGCAGATAACTGGTGATTTCTTTGGGTTTCTAACTCTTTTTTTATGTGTGTCCTTCACAGAATGATGTGAGTGAGAAAGAGCAGCGCTGGGGAGCTAAAACTGTCAATGGATCCGGCCACCAGGAGCACATCAAGTAAAGCAGCTCTCCTGTAGAATTTATTAATAGTCACAATCCCAGGCAGCTTTTAATCAACTCATGTTCTTGATTACTTGTGCCTTCATAATTAAAACAAGAGTCCCTGTAGAAGACTGATTATTTTCCAGGTTGCTGGTCTTTCAAATCCAGACAGTATCTTCAGATCTCAAGATGAGAAATACGGTGTAGAGATGCTTAAGTCTTTCATTATCACTGGAAATGTAATTTTTCCAGCCTCCTTGGCTGGAAAGTTTCTTTGTTCTGCTCTGGTAAAAGAGCCAGTAGCTCTAGGGGAGAGGTTGAGTGATCTGAGCAGTTCCAGTTTGGTACTTTAAAGAAACATTTGGACTCTTAATTCTTAGGCTTTATTTAGAAAACTGTTACCAAACTCATAAAAGCTCTGGTGAAGTAACAAATAGAGCTCTCTGATAGAAAAGCAAATGAGTATCACGGAGGGCTATGTGAACAGAAATTACCCATCTCCTGAATCTTGTGTTTCTTGCAAATTTATTTCTTATTACTGTGAGTTCAATTCCTACATATTGTAAAGGGTCACTTTGGGAAGAGGAGGTGTGTGTCCCCTCACATCCTTATTTAGCATTACAGTTGTGCCCAGTTAGAATTAGTCCTGTTACGGTAGGGACTGTATCATAAGAGATGACCCCTGTTCTGAAAAGTTGCCATCTAAATAAAAAGCGTTGGAAAGAATTTAAATTAGGACAAGAGGGAAAAAAATATGTTTCAGGCACATATCAGTTCTAGGTAATGGATTGTTCAAACAGCAAAATTCCCTTCGATATTAATCTTAAAACCAACAGTTTCTTTTCTTCTTTTTTAAACAGTGTTTTGCAGTGGAATAAATCCAGTTTCTCAGAATATGAGCAAGTTTTTTGTGCACTGAAAAAAATGGGAAGGGCTTGAAAAATACAAGTTGTCCAACTTCTTTTTAAGATAATATTTTTGTCATCTCTTTATTTTGCATCTTTTTGAATTTGTCAGCTGAAACTTTCTTAGTAAAACTTGCTGCTTCATTATCATTGTCTTTTAAAGTATTCATCAGCTGAGAGAGAATGTCTTCCAAGAACACCAGAACCTCAAAGAGAAGGAGCTTCAAACAGGACCAAAAGCTTCTCATGGCTATGGAGGGAAATTTGGAGTTGAACAGGATCGGATGGATAAAGTAAGTGTAAATGAGGCTTCCCTGGGATGATGGGATAAAGGAAGTATGAGTGAGGCTTCCCTGGGGTGATGGGATAAGCCTTGCCTTGCCTGTGGCCAGCACCACTCTGTGTGTGAGTTAAGCTTGGTCCAGGTTTGCTCTGGGGTGTACAGTGGCCCCAGGTGCTCTGTCTTTAAAGCAAGTCCCCCTGGAGTCAGGATTCAAGTTTCTAAATGTGTATTTCTAAATTAACAAAGCACATGCATTAATAAATCCAGTACTATCTTTTTATTTTGATGCTTTGCCAGCTCTTCTGTGCTTATAGACAGAGATTTGACAAAGAATGAAGGAAAGGGTGTGCTGCTGCCTTTAAATTAGAGGGCAGTTCTTTTAAACAGTGGTAAACTGTCAATAGTGACAAGTAAACCGAGTATTTAATATATCATTGTAAAATGTCATTGTACTTCAGGTCAGATGATAACGTTTTATATAAGGAACTGATAGCTGTTTACTATACACTGTTTAATAATTCTTAATATAATTCTTTACCCATCAAATAATCAGGCATATCAGCTTCTTGCTACTTTCTTACATGTACTCCGTTAGAATAAGAATAAAAATATTCCTGAATAAGAAAGTTTTCTTACTTCATTTACTTTTTGGGGTTCTGGTAATTTGCCAGCCTTAAATTTTTGCTGGATTCCTGTATTCCAGAGTTAATTGCTGTGTAGTTCTCAATGGGCCTCTGAGAATCTGGGCTAACGTTTGAGTCTGGGAAAGTAGAGTACATCCAGCCATCAGGCCTGTTCTGCTGCTGCTCTCTAATGTCAGCAGTTTATCCCTCACCTGTGTCCATGGGGAAGAATGAAAGGAACAAAAGTAAGCACTGCTTCCTGTAGGCCAGAATTAATCATGGGGAAAACATGATGGTCATGCCCGTCTGAATGATGCTGGTGGCAGGAGATGTTTACGATTTATTTTTATGAGTTTTATTTTTTGTAGTGCTTGATATTTGATGAAATGCAGAAAGTTCTGGTAAGAACACAAAGCAAACAACATGCTTAAACCTTCCCTACCTCAACTGGTGTAACAACAGAGAGATCATGTAAAACCACACAGAAGCTAAAATTTCCAGATCTTCGTGTTTTCCATAAATGTAATGAGAAGAATAAAGGGAGGTGGGAGCCTTTTCAGTCACATTTAACAGTTATTCTACTACAGATAATCTGCAAAATGAACAAGAGTATGACTGTTTCAGTCAGGAAGAGAAAGGAGCTTTTGTGATGCTTATAAATTGAAGTAATGTCCTATTATTGACACCCTTGTTCTGTTACCTGGCAATTAGTTCAGCCCTAATATTACTTCAGCAGTAATATTTTGCTATCCTATCTGCTGGTAATGTTCCCTCCAGCACCTGTGTGGAGGAAAAAGGGCAGACACTGTAAAAACCACATTATTTAGGTGTCTTGACACCTTGTGTCCTCACATTGATTCGCCTTGGTCCAGCTGCCTGAAACAAGATAAGCAAGTGTTGGATTAAACTGACAGATTCCAAGTTGTTCTGGCCAGTGCCCAGTGTTAGCACAAGGCAAGAAAAAAGCATTTTTGCTGGGTTAAGTAGCACCTTGAAGATGTGAGGCTTCCAGCTGGGAGGGTTTCCCAGCACTAGGTTAGTGTAACATTAGCAAACACTGCTTGGATAGACTTTCATGTGTGTAATTACATATCCCTGTGTCTTACCTGAAGCCAGTCATGGTGTAGTGTAGCTGAGCCTCTGCCTGCTCTGTTCAGCTCAAGTTCCAGGGCCAGGCTCCAGTTGGAGGCTACAGGGCTAGGATACCTTCGGGAGTTCCGTCTTGATGTGAATGCAGTGCTTTGTGTTGCGATGCCATTTTGCAAGTGAGGAGAAAGTATGGAGAGAAGATGCCTAATTCTGATTTATGCAGGAGATATGGGTGCCTCGCTAAAAGAATAACACCTAGTTGTAGTTGTATTTGGTTGCAGTCTCATATCAGCTACAACAGATCTGTAGCTGCAAGGCTGTGTATTTTATCTGGAACTTTAAATTCTCCATGGGCACCATCACAGCTCTCACCATGTCTTTCTTATTTTCATTCCTGTGCTTCTGAAGTACAATTACTGAGCATAAAATAGTCTCCATAAAACACAGTCATTGCTGTCAGTCTCTTGGCACTTCCCTTGCCTGGGCTGTGTTGGTAAAGACTTTCCAAGGGAGTAGGAATTCCCAGGGAAGTAGTTTCAACAGGAGGAGTGCCAGTGACATGTGTTGGTAACAGCTTAAACCCTGGTTACTCGGTGCAGTGTTTTCTCTTACATACAGAACTGTGTGGAACTGCTCCTTCTGAACTTAACAATTTCTTTTAGTCAGCTGTTGGACATGAATATCAATCCAAACTTTCCAAGCATTGCTCCCAAGTGGATTCAGTGAAAGGGTTTGGAGGGAAGTTTGGAGTACAAACCGACAGAGTTGACCAGGTAAGCGATTTCATCTCCTGCTGCAGATCCTCACAGTTTCTCCTTTTGTATGTGTAATTCCAATACCTTAAAATGCTGGTGTGGTCTGCTCTGCTCTTCCTGCTCTTTTAGAAGTTTAGTAGCAAACTAACACTGACTGTAACAGAGATAAATTACTGTTTAGAGCAAAGCAGGAAAAAAAACCCTTATGAAAAAATGAGATTAATTGAAAAGAGATGTGTGGTTTTTTAATTAAAAAATTAATTTCATTGTGAATTTAAAAATTAATTTTTTGTGTGTGTGTGTTTTTTGACAAGGTCAGTGTGACTGCTGTAGAAGGAGGGATTTGGGGATAGTTTATCCTGTATCTCAACATGAGCTACTGGGCAGGATAACTTACAGCCTGTTCCAAGAATCTGTAACAATGCCTGCATGGAAATGCTGAATTTCTGTTGTACTGAATTGCTGAACCTGTCAAGACTAGAGTTTGTTGCTGGCACAATTTGCCTTAGCAAGGGAGGACAAAAATCCTTGCCATGGACACATGTACTAAATTACCATGTAAATGAATATGGCCTGTAAGTTAAGTAGGTGTTTATGCTCCCAGTCAAGAGGGTCAGAGCAGTATGGAAAGACACAGGAGCTTTCCATGCTGTTTGTCCACTGGAGTTCATGCAGTTTTTCTCCTAATACCTAACTCTGTCTCACACGCAATTTTATTTCTCTACCAGTCAGCTGTTGGGTTTGAATATCAGGGGAAGACTGAGAAACATCCCTCCCAAAAAGGTAAAGTGGCCAGGTGGTCGCCTCTCTAGACACATTTTCTATAAACGATAGAGTAGATCTTTATTCTTTCACTGTATGTAAAATACCTTCTTTAGTGAGACCTCTGCATGACATTCTCAGTGAATCAGATGTTGGGTTTGGTGGAAGAGAAGATAAAAAATGTATTTCAAAGCAGTTTCATGAGCTGATGAGGTTTTAAGGCGAGAAAATAGTGTGTCATTGAGAGTCTTACTTTTCTTTTACAAGGGAGGTTCAAGGATACCTTAGAAATACTGGGAGTTGTTCTTTGGAATATTGCACCCTGTTGGAAATAGGGAGCCAATTTAATAGGAACCACCATAAACTATAGGACTGCTGCCTGTCTTATTTCTGTGTTCAAGATTAAGCTTAACTTTGTGTGCTAAAGGCTAAAGACTTAATAGTCAGTTCTGAAATAACATTTTTTTTCCCCCCTTTCAGTTGCTAGGATATGATGTATCCATGAAAAGTATCTTCATTTTGTTTTTGTTGTGCAGACTACTCAAGTGGTTTTGGTGGAAAATACGGAGTACAGGCTGACAGAGTGGACAAGAGTGCAGTGGGGTTTGATTACCAGGGGAAAACTGAGAAACACGACTCCCAGAAGGGTGAATAGACACATTAGTGGCCTCATACTCTGATGTTGTAGGCAATGACCACAGGCCATGTTGTAAAATATTAATGTTTTGTCATCTCTTGTACTCCCAACCTGCTGAAAGGTAACACTAAATAAAATTTATGTTGCTGAAATCTCTGACTTCTGAAAAAGACACCTAAAATGTAAGTTCTGCCTGGTTTTAAGTGGTGATCCAACTGCCATTACTTTGGAAGCAGGGCACATAGTTTTACAACTTCTTTTGAAAAACTGTGAATTAAAGTACTGGGAACTGTAAGCAGTTTAATCGCCGCAGAGAAATGCTTCCAAAAGCGTCATCTCTCTGTAGATTAAAGCATTTATCAGTTAGCAGTGTTTAAAGTTAACATTGTGTTGCTTATCAGGTTTCTAGGCATCTCTGATCAAAAAACCAACGATTTTATTGAAAAATTGTGACATTTTTGCCATCTATTTTCTGTTTATCTCAAAGAAATGTTTGCATTTTAGAAATGCTGAACAAGAAGAAGAGGGTGTTTATTTAAAAGCATCCAGGCTGTTGCTGACATGGGTTTTGAAGTTCACTGTGGTATAAGTGTCTTAAGAATTTTATTAAGAAGTCAAGTAGCTGAATTGCTGATATTACCAAGTGGTTGAACTACTGACAGGATTCTATTTTATTTTCCATCCTGGAGAATGTAGTCTGAAGGATTTATGTATTCTGAAGGATTTATGGCTTTGGTGCCTCAAATCAAGTTTAACTAAGGATGTCAGTGCTTCTTTTAATACATGATGTAATATTAGCAGCTCTGATTATCACAATTTTTAAGGTAATATTTTGGTTATTGAACACTTACAAAATTCTTCACTCTTATCTCTAGATTATTCCAAGGGCTTTGGTGGTAAATATGGTGTCGACAAGGACAAAGTGGATAAAAGTGCTGTTGGCTTTGAATATCAAGGCAAAACGGAAAAACATGAATCACAGAAAGGTTTTTATCATCTTATTTTAAAAACAGAAGTTCAAATCCTTTTAAACTTGGGAAAAATATTTTGTTTGTGGGGTATTTTTTGGGGTGTGGGTTTGTTTGGTTTTTTTTTTGTGGTAAATGTGTGTTTGCCCCTTGTGTATGCAGATTTTGGATTGCCTTAAATGAAAAGAAAGGCATTGTAAATAAACTCTACCTGATTTTCACAACCTGATTTCCAGGGGACCTTGGTTATTGAAATAAATGCATAATTGCACAGATCTGTTTTATTCAGGGGCAGCATCAAGTCCTTCATTCTTTATATATCTATTGTGCATATATTTATGTGTGTGTGTGTGTGTGTGTGTGTTTTAGCTTTAGGTGGAAAATGCCTCAGATTCTTCAAATCTTTAAATATTATTGAGTCTGTGTGAGATTTTTGGTGATTACTTGCATTGTAATCCCAGAGTTATTGCCTGTGTATCTTTCCTTTCTGTTGAGGAAGTGTAGCAGGGTGAGTGACAGATGTTATCATCAAAAGCGTTATTATTAATGACAGGGCAGCTTATCCCATAATGTTTTCTTTTGGTTTTTTTTAATAAATACTGTTTACAGTCATAAATTGCAACTATGTTTTCTGCAATTTCATGCACACAGATTATGTGAAGGGGTTTGGAGGCAAGTTTGGTGTGCAGACAGACAGACAGGACAAATGTGCCCTTGGCTGGGACCACCAGGAAAAGGTGCAGCTTCACGAGTCCCAGAAAGGTACATCAGCTCACAGCTCTTTGTTGTTTCGGAGTCCCCTCATTTTGAGTTTCCTTTTCCCTTTGTGAACCGTCCTCCCCTCGTGTCTTTGGCCACAGTTACAGGAGCTGATATGAGTCTCCTTTTTCTGTGTTGGACTGGTTGCTGTGTACTGGTTATACTGGTGTTTGCAAAGCAGGTTTAACACAGCTGATACCGAGTCCCTAAAAGCTCAGGCTTAGTGCTGAGAGTTCTCTCTGGAGAAGTTTTAAGAGTCTACAATTAACCTGGATTATTTTTTCCTTTTTCAGTTCGCTCATGCAAAGCAGAGATTTGCAATTTCTTTGTACTTACCACAAATAATGTGTTATGGATATCCCTATTTTCATGCAGGGGAAATCTGATATCTAATGTTGTCCTTTATAATGGCCTGTGAGGTGCTTATTCCTGTGAAATACTTGGTAGCCAGAAGAAAAGCTGTAAAATACAACAATTGCTCTCCATCACTGTGTCTGTCACCACCCTGAACTTGGAGAAATTAATATTTTTAAATTAAAGAAATTAAAACTGACCCTCAGAATATTGTTCTGTTGGGTGCTCCAGCAGATTGGTTGTGAGAGGATTACCTGAAACCCTTTTTTCTGTGCCCTCCCTCATTTCATAGCACATATATACAAATATATATATATATATATTTATGTGTAAATGTTGTTCCTTAGGTAGCAAAAAGGAATGATCTCTGAGCTGGAAGGTTTTATTCCCCTCAAGCTGTGTGACAGCAGAAATATTGCTCCTTCCTTTAAGCAATGCTTTGTATATATATAATATCTGGAGAGTAGTCTCTGTAGACCCCATCTTCACACCTCTTTAAAAGTCAGATCTCTGTGCAAATGTTAACCACACTGATGAAGAAAGCTCATTTTATTCTCTTGTATCTTTTGTTATTTGTTCTATTTATTCTCTTGTATCTTTTGTTGTTTTGGTTTGGTGAACATAATATCTATGTGTATGTGTTCATAACCATGATCAAATGCAAGTGTGTTGTGCAGTATGGATGAAAAATGTTGAGAAATGCTTTTTTTCTGTTACTTCAGAATGGTGTTTTTACATCTGATAGATCATGTTGACGTCTTCCTAATCTCAAATTGAAACTTCTTTTGGATTTACTTTTACAAAAGTGTCTTGAGATTTTTTCCCCCACCATCCAAAATGACTGAAAATACTGCAAAAATAATTTTGAGTGTCTCTGACTAAACTTCTTTATTTTCCTCCCTCCGTTTTAATTTATCACATGTGGCTTTTTCAGACTATAAGAGTGGTTTCGGAGGGAAGTTTGGTGTACAGACAGAAAGGCAGGACCCATCTGCTGTGGGGTTTGATTACAAGGAGAAACTAGCCAAGCATGAATCTCAACAAGGCACCGTTTTCACTTGTTACTTTCTTAACAGTGCAGGCACTTCTCACACAGTCTGGAATAGTTGTCTGAGTAGATCCATGCTAGGAATGTGCAGACACTTTCTCGCGCTTCTGTTCCTCCATGATCCAGCAAATATTCTTCCATTCTATTCTTAAAATGTTATATCAAGTAATCCTGCGTTCAAGAAATATGTGCAGTGTTTAGTTAACAGTTCTAAAAAATCATACATTTAGTGTGATAATAACAACTTTATTGTCAGGATGATGTTAATGAAGTCATGCTTAGCAGTTTAGAGTCTAAATATTAAGTTTTGCCTGGATAAATTGGTGGGAAAATAGGTAAGGACCATGCATGTAACCATTAACAAGCAGTAGGTTATGGCAAGATCTTTTAGAAATTATTATGATCTTTAAAACAAGAAGTAGGGAATGTTTGTGGTTCTTGGGTGAGCAAATGCTGTTATAATGCTCTCTTTATCCGTTGTGAAATAGTTGGGGTACAAACCATGAATTTCTGGTTTTCCGTTATCTTAAAGTGAGGAGTCTGGATCAGGAAAATGTAAGTGTAGTATATTTATTCTGGCTGAAAATACATACAAAGCTGGAGAAAATGATGTTTTTCATTCTGATGTGCTACAGTGACGCAAATCAGACTTTTAGAGTGTCAGATGAGCCTTATCAGAGCCTGAATACATACCCTAAAATAGCTGGCAGGGAGACCCAGGTGTTTTGAGGGCTGAGAGGAGAATGTAATTGTATTCCAGGGATGTATAGGAAAGCCTGTCCATCCACAGAGTCTAAGGGCACATTCCTGAAGCTCACAGCCACCAGAAAGGGGTATTTTTCCAGCCACACACTCTTGCTGCTGCTGTTGTGCTGCTCTGGTGCTCATCAGTCATTCCTCAGACTGCAACTCCCTGGAAAGAGGAGAAAACTACTCTTGTTATTGTTTTTATTGTTAATGCCACTAGTGAATTAATGTGACTTGGGAGTGTATAACAGGTGCAAGAGTCAGTCTGAGGTGAGAGGAAGAGTGAGCAGGTCAGGGGTGGCGTGAGACAGCATGGCCACCCCATTTTTGTGGTGGTGAAGTGTTGCAGGCTTGTGCTCTCTGGTGGAATTGCCCTTTTTCCGTGTGTAGAGCAGGAGTTATTACCAATTACTTTAATGCTCATCAGTTGAGTATCATAACCAAATCCACTGGAACAAGAAATTTGTTCTATTTTCCTGCTATTCATAGAATTTACCAAGTTTAAGAGTGAAAAATAAACACCTCTGTGGTCACTGAAGACAGAACATTCCTCCTTTGAGCAAAGTAAACTGGCTTAGGCTCTGTGATCCCTTCAGAGGGCTAAGAATTGGTGCTGTGAAAGCCTGTGTTACGGAAGTGATGCATTAGAAGGGCTCATTCCCTTACTCCTTGCTTGATGCCTTATCAATCCTCAGCTTCATGTTTACTCAGAGAATGCATGTGGGCCCACGATCTGTCATCTGCTGGTGTTACCTGGAGGCTCTTGCAGTTCTTGTGTCCTTCCTGCACCAAAACCAAGCTGCATTTTCTTTGGCTGCTGTCACTGTACCTTTTGCATGCAGCTGAAATGGCTATATGCATCTGAGATGGCTGTTTGCATTTGGCAGGAAGGTGGGAGGGACAACAAACTCCCTACTCTCTGACCCTTTTTTATCCTGCTTTTAGATTATTCCAAGGGATTTGGAGGGAAGTATGGTGTGCAGAAAGATCGGATGGATAAGGTGAGTTGCTCAAGACAGCCATGACTTAAATAGGCTGTAGGGGTACAAAATAGTCTGGTTAGATCTGTAGTGCTCAGCTCTGTCTTTCTGGGTACTTCTCCAGTCTTACAGTAGGTTTCTATGCTTTTCTAAGTCTTCAAAAAGCAAGTTTATACACACAGAACCACTTTATACACACCTATGTGTGTGTACATATGTGTAGTGTATTTGTTAAAGTAGGGGACACTGAAGGAGGGAAATAAAAGAATAGAAAAATTAATACGAAAGAATAAGAAAATCCATAAATTTCACAATTTTAGTCATGTCAGCTAGCTAGTGTCTTATATCTTGAGGAAATGCTTTTAGTGGGATGCTTAAAATAGGTGTCTGATACCTACCCAACTTTGCCCACTTTGATTATCAAGGACCTTCTGCTTAGGAGAATTTGTTTTGGTGTTTAGAACAGTGAAAGATAGGGCAGTTGATACCCCCCTTTCTACCTGTCTACTTTCTAATTTAAGAAAATAGAAGATGAAAAAGTCCTCACTGAGATTTATCTACTAAATAAATTTACTCACAGCTTTGTGTAGGACATTTGAAAGTGAGAAAATAGCAAAGTTTGAAAGTCTGTAGCATTTCTTTAACTTGTGGCTTCAGGACTTGAGACCATTCATTTAAAAAAACCTCGTATTTTGAATATTTTTTTCTAAAATACTTGCTCAGTTTTAACAATATCTGCTTCTTTAAGGGAACTGGAGGCTTTTACAATGGTAGAAATCCTGCACAGTGTGGATTAGAACAGCAACAGCTACACAATATATGTTTAGGACATTACCTCATTCATAGTTCTGATGAGTCATCTATTCATAAACTACTTTTTTTTTTTTTTTAAATTAATAGAATTTTTATGTGTTTGCACCTGCCCCTGAAGATTAATTCTTTGGCAGTTTGACTTTCACAAAGGGAGCAATCCTTTCTGTAGCTTTGATTCTTCTTGATTTCGTTTGATGTTCTGAAAAAAAACCTTAGGGATAGTATCACAATAAAATGTCACAGATTGAAGCTGCCTGAATGTCTCCATGAGTGTTGTGGGTGTTTTAAAATGTATTCTTTTTTCTCCTCACTGTTAGAATGCAGCAACTTTTGAAGATATTGAGAAACCAACATCAACTTACCAGAAGACCAAGCCAATAGAAGCTGGTAAGGCATTGGCCCCAAATCCTTTCTCTGGAGCTGATAATGTCTAAAAGCTAGGATATTCTGTTGATGGAGCAGTGCTGAGTAAAACTGCTGTATGTGCAGGTCTCTAGAAACCTCAGCCACTCTCCCTCCTCCCTTTAGAGGTTGTTTTGGTTTGTTGAGGTTTGTTTTCTCTTTTTTTTTTTAATTCCCTTGGGGGTCATCAGAGTTGAGGAAGGGAGAATAAAAAGCATCAGAGTGGAGAACAGACTGAGTACAGCAGTGGTGGAGGCTGTACCATGAAGGAGAGGACGGATAAATCTTACAGAGGTTTTTCTGTAAGAGAAATGTGCACAAGAGGTTTGGGCTTGGAAGGGAGGAGGGAGAAAGAGGGATAGAAGGACTTTTTTTGAATGGACTATGAGCTCAGGGGGCAGAAAAGCAGAAATTTGTACTGAAAACTCATTTCAGGCCACCTTTATACAGCTCCTGAAACAGCATTATTTGACTTGAATTCTTTTCCATGTTGCAGTTGCTAATAAAACAAGCACCATCCGAGCTAACTTTGAAAACCTGGCCAAGGAAAAAGAGCAGGAAGACCGAAGGAAGGCAGAAGCTGAGAAAGCACAAAGAATGGCCAGGGAGAAACAGGAACAGGAGGAGGTTCGAAGGAAACTGGAGGTCAGTAAGGTTCAAATCCCACTTGAGCAGCATGTCTGGTGTGTTTCAGTGCAGTGCTAGGAGAAAAGGGAATCTTTAGGAAAGATTTTTTTTTTTTCAGCTGGGCTTTAAAGCTGCTTGTGTGTTTGTCTGTTTGTTCCTGTGCTTCACCTGTGTGTGACTGCAGCCATCCCTTAGTGTGCACCATATGTGTACCAGCCAGCACACAGGGGGATAGGGTAACACTTAATAGTATAGAATTTCTTTAATTAGCTTGTCCCAAAATATATTAATTTTGACCACTAATCCTTGCAGTGTGACCTTTCCTTCCTGTACTTCTGCCTTTTGGTAATACCAGGTTCCCTTGGCCATATTGGAGCTCATAAAGGGAGAGTTCTGTGGTCCTCAAAAGGCTCTGCTTGTTCACAAAATTTAATACCATGGTGGTATTTGGTGAAGCTGGTTTTTTGGAATCAGTGTTGTGGAAGATGGAGGTGGTACCACTCATTGGTATAAGCACACAGCCAGGAGATTAGGGGAAGATAATCTTGCAAATGTTAATTGATTCTTAGTTTGGGAATTAAAAAATGAATTTAGCTTTGGTGTGGTTTAAAGCTTCGTGATTTTTTGTGTTATTCATAAGCAAGATAATTCCAGAAAGTGTTTAGTCAGAAATTACATTTTATCAGCTTTATAGGATTTGCATATCTGGTGAAACTCTGCTGCTTAGGTGGAAGGACTAGTGAGTGCATTAGTAGTGATTTGTCCTTTGTGTCTTGTTCATTTACCTTATTACACAGTGAACTGGGGTGACTTGTCACCAGTAACCCAGGCCAGTAAGACCAATCTGCTGCTGGGTGACCTACGCAGGCTGCTGCAGGTTCAGAGCCTCTGTGGCAGTTTCCCTTGTGGTCTCATGCTGGTATTTTGACTTGATGACCTCATACTTGTAATCTGTAATAACCCTGATATTATGGCAGGAATAGGGAAGCAGTTGGTGCTGGAGTAAGAATAGTCCCTCTTTTCCCTTTCTCCTTCACTTCTTCTTTTACAGTTATCAGTTTATACTAGAGGAGACTAAGCAGAAGACACACAGAGATAATTTTTAAATTCTGAATAAATGCTCTTTGGCCATACATGTGCACTGAAACACTGTGTAACACTGATGCCCACACATGCTCCAGCCAGTGCTAATAGAGTCCCAAACAGGTACAACCAGTAGGGAGATTGAGCAGGTCCTGATGAAAAGTACAGGAGATGCCCAGGAAAAATGGCCTTCCTCACCATCTTCATCATTGCCTCTTTATGTGCTGAAGAGACCTAGAGGAGGAGAATGCTTTCTGGGAACCTCCTCACTGCTCTTCTTGTCTGGCTGTGGAAGGAGTTTTCCTACTTCCTTTTTTTTTCCCCCTTCTTCTTTCCTCTCTTTTGTTTTTATTTTCTGCCAAAAGTATCTTTCATCGTTAGAGCCAACATGTGCCAGCAGCCGCAGCCCCACTAATAAATCTTCTTGTCTCAACATCCTTTGTGAGACATCTGGAATCCAGGAAAGACAGATGGTTTCTCAGATCTCTTTGGTCCTCTGACTAAGAACAAATAGGGCAGAGCCAGGGGTTGGTTTCTCAGATGTGGTGGATACTTCCCCTTATCTGGAGGCTGCCACAGAATGTCAGGGTGTGGTGTTCATCCCATTCCATCAGTATGGTCTGATTCTTCACAGATTTAGACTTGTAACTTAATTTGTTTTGAGTTTGAAAAGCGCGTGGTAGGCTTGTAACTTAATTTGATGTAACTTAATTTGTTTTGAGTTTGAAAAGTGTGTGGTAGGCTTATGGTAACCCAGCTCTGATCTTCCTAAACTAAGAGAAATACACTGCACTGAAACTCCACGTTACTCAGATTAACTAAGCCTGCCCAAGCCAGTGTGGCAGCTCAGGTGGCACTCTCAAGGCACCCTTTTCCTTATAGTCACACCAAAGTGGGAAACTAATCCTAACGAATAAACCATAATTTGTGTTAACTAGACGCAAACCAATTCCCCTGCCTGGTTCAGTGGTTTGGCTCCTCAGCTCTGCTTTTCAGGCCAGTGCTGTGTCAAATAGATCTGTAGTTTTGCTGTGTTTGTGTCTAGTTTGACTTCTGAAAACCTCTGGATTCCTTTTGAGCTGTGTTTGAAGCTTGGGAAATTCTGCTTTTATAGGATAAATCAGCTCTGTACATTGAAAGGCATCTGCTTTTTTTTCCAAGATGTGCACTGTGAGCATATATTCACTGTATACAAGTCTCACAAGTTGAATGGGAGTTCAGCTGTGTGTATCAGTGATCTCTTCTAATGCTGCCTTTCATCCATGTGCACTTTTAGTACCTTCCTCCAAGCACTATTTGGGTTTCTTTACTGTGCTAGAGAAAACTGGGAGAGGAGGAGATCGCAGAATTGTGGAATGGTTTGGATTGGAAAGATCATCCAGTTCCAACCCCCTCCCTGGGCAGGGACACATTCCACAGGTTGCTCAGGGCCCCATCCAACCTGGCCTTGAACATTTCCAGGAGTGTGGAGTCCACAGCCTGCTATAGATGCTGAATGTAGCCTGCTATAGATGCTCAATGTCTCTCCATTAGACTATTCCTGTCACAATGCTGTTGGAGCCATATTTTTAACAAGTGAGGAGATCATACAAAGTACTCAGTCTTTCTGCTTAGCTTTCCCTTCCATTGCATGGGCTTGTAGTCTAGGCTGAGTGGGGGAAGTAGTTCACCTGCTCCATTGGCTTTCTTGCCATTCATTTTAGGTGATCAGATGTTCACAAGTAAGATCTATGGATGGACAGTGGTGAATTTAGGCTTTTGTTACCGATTTCTCATTGCAGTCTCCTCCTGCTGAGGAAACAGTTCTCCAAAAGGATTTAAATGTAGTTCCACAGATTCTCATGAGTCATTGATATGCTATGTCTTTTTTTTTTTTTTTCCTCCTTGCTATCTCATAAATTACATATTTCTTTACTGGTATTTTTGCTGTAAGTGTGGGTTAAACTCAAGCCATTATGCTTAATTTTTCTTATGCTTCATCAAAGATTCTGTTGCCTGGACACATTTGAAGTTTCTTCCCCCTAAAGCTGGTATTTTAATTTCACCATAACCAGATGATTAATGTTCTTACAGACTGAACGTCTCCATGGTTAATTGTGGGATTCTGCAGACACTGAGAGAGGGGGGATGAGGTTGAGGGGAGCTGAAATGGCACTGCTGGCACTGCCCCTTGCTCCCAAGCTGAGCATGGAGAGGGCAGGAATGTGACCCACACCATCCACAGATACTGTAAAGAGTGGGAATGGACTTCGACTTAGGTGAACTTGGTTTCTTTAAGTGAACTTCACACAAAAGGAAGAAAGTCTTACTTTTTAGAAAGTATGTGGGCACATGTACTCCCACAATGGGAACATACATATGGGCTGTGTTCCTTCAGGAGCCCTCTTTACTAGTATTCCTGGTTTGCTTTTCACATATGTCACGTAGTCAAACAGTGCTCAGGGAGCTCTTTGATGGCTACTTTGAGTCGATGGTGCCTCATGATTTCATTATCTCCTGCTGCCTTGGAGAACATGAGACATTTCACTGTGTGGCAAAACCCAGCCTGAGGGGGGGTTGTGCAATCTAAATATTTTATGGCAGTTATGGTGTGTCTGTCCTAAACTCCAGTCTGGATTGCAGAGTCCCATTTCCTAGGACAAATTAGTCAAACTGTTGCCATGTGTGACGTCATTAATGGATTGATGGTATATAATTTGTCCCCAAACTTAGTTTTGACTTCTGATAATCACTTTGGTGGTGCTTTTTCATCTGTAGCCCAGGAGTTGGAAGTGGAGGGGAGGATTTGCATGAGGACAGACTTTTTCCAGAAGGGACAGCACTAAGCTTTGAATTGTCTTCAAAGCTGGCTCTGCTCTCAAGTCACACTTTGCTTTCTTTGTTAGATGTATTTTTTTCTGAGCTGTGACAAACAAAGGAAAGAAAGAATTTTTTGTAACAGAATCCTGTCTCTGGACTGTGATTTCTCCTGAGAATCCTTTGGAGATTTACAGCTTGATGGACCTGAACTACTGGAGTGCACAGATTCCCATAACACATATTCTCTCTTCTTTTTTTACAATAAAGACAGCTTGGCCCTTGATTCACAATTTTCCCCTATGGTAAAGAGAGGCAAAATGAAATAGCTACCTGACAGCCTTCTTTTAAGTCATGTCAGCAACATAGCATTTCTTGTGCTACAGTGTCCTGGCTCCCTAATGAGTGGCTTTCTAGGGATTATGGATTTGCCCTCTGGATTCACAGGTGGGATGGAACAGCATGAAGTGCTTGAGTGCCAGATTTCTTTGTGTCACAGAATACAATAGCAGTGCTGCTTTTATTTCTACCACTTCTACCACAACTCTTCTGAATGTTTGAATCTCTCGCTGTCAGTATGTAGGACCTACTTTTGTGTGTGCTATTCAGGCAGGGTGTTTTGTAGACCTGCAAGAGCTTGCAGGACCATTTCTCACCAAAGATAATGGATCAGTTGCAATTAGGATGTGTGGGCTTGAGGTTCTTTAAATTTAGGCTAAAACGGGACGTGAGGCCCAGCCAGCTCGTGAACAGAGTGAATATAATGAACACCAAAACCCTGCAGCTCCTATGGAAATGTGCCAGAGAACAGTGGTTTTTAAACACATGCATGCATATGTACTGTGGGGTGTTTGTTTTTTCACTTTTTTCTCTTCTGCTTTGTTGCATTTCTGAGCCTCTGCTGTACAGCCAGTCTCAGCCTTCAGCAGGTCTAATGATCCAGCCAGTCCAGTTCTCTGCTCCCAGAAGTTTATTGCAGGATGTGCTGCCTCTCTTTCTTAGTGGAGGGTTGTTTCTTGTTTGATGTCATCACATCAGTGATTAAACTGCACTGAAGTTTTACTTTCTCCTCAATTCAGGAACAAGTTAAAGCCAAGACACAGACTCCACCACCCTCTCCTGTCACACAGCCAGCTGAGCAGAAGGCACCCTCCAGCCCAGTCTATCAGGTGTGTTGGAATCACTTCCGGGATATGGTTTTCGATCCTGAGTGTAGGAATCTTTAACAAAACCCTGATGAACCTCACCTGTCTCTCTGCAGGATGCAGTTTCCTACGAGGCAGGGTCTGCCTACAAGAATTCTTGCTCCTCCTATCCAGCTGCACATGAGCCAGAGTCTGGCTACAAAGCTGCAGAGTCAAACTACCAGGAAGCAGTGAGCCAGAGAGAGGCAGAATATGAACCAGAGACTGTCTATGAAGTGGCAGGAGCAGGAGACTGTTACCAAGCAGGTAGAATGTTTGTTTCTGATATGAAAGCCTTTAAGATGAATTTTATTGTGCAATAACTTAATGAGTAGTTGTGCTGATAGCACACTGTCCTAAGTTTTAAAAAGGCTCGTTCTGATGAGACTTTTTAGATTCTCCACCAACAAACTTTAATTAGAAAATTAAGATATAGGCAGAGCAAGGTTGAATTTACTTAATTGTAGTGAGATGATGTTGGAGTAGTTACAGTTCTCTCTAGGGTCTCAGTTCAAAAAGAAATTTAGGGGTAACCGTTTCCACCCTATGGAATGTAGCTTAACATGAGAAGAAAGCACAGAGATGGAGATGAAATGTGCTGAGCCAGCAGAAAATTCTGTCAATACTTCTTGGAGTTAGAAATCGATGTCGTGTGTTCTGTGCCTGTGAGAGGGTGGAGTAGGGATGAATGAAACTACTGAAACTGCAAGAATAAGGTTCTTTTGAATTCTTATTTTTTTCTCACCTTTTCTGGTTATTAAAAGCCAAAGGTGTGAAGAATGAACCTGCTCTAGTACAAAACCCGGGGAATTTTAGAGAGGCCCCTTTGTCCTCCCTCCAACTTCTATTAAACTTGTATTAAATATTCTCTTACACAGTAATCTTGGGCTCAGTTTTATTCTGTCACATTTTACAGAAGCATTATAAGGATCAGCATCTTTATTTTCTACTGTTTTTGAATGCTTCCTTCCAGGCTTTAATTGTGTGTGATTTAGGGGAAAAGTCCAGTTCAGAAGGAATGTCAGCACTGCTAAAACCTGGCATTCCCTGCTTCCTATGTGGGTTTGCAATGGAATTAAAGGAGGAGCACGACAGAAAAGAATTGAGGATGATGGGTAGTGTGCTTCGTGTTTTCATTTTTGTCCTCTCTCTTTAGAAGAAAATGCTTATGATGAATATGAAAATGAACTTGGAATTACAGCCATAGCCCTTTATGATTATCAAGCTGGTAAGCAAAGCTCTTCTTTTTAACCTTTGTCTTTGAAATCTCTATTCTGCACAGGTAAGTCTGGATTTTTCCTTTGCCTTTTTATCTTTTGGTCTCCTGGAGTGGTATATGAGATGAATATCTGAAGAATTAGGAAACCAGTGATTTAATAGTTGAGACACTTTTGAAAACTCATGTTTCTGGAAATGGTGGGACTTTTCAAAATCTTTTTTAACCAAGTGTTAACACTCTTCATAGAATCCTAGAATGGGTTGGGTTGGAAGGTGACCTTAAAGATTATCTTGTTCCACCACCCTGCCATGGGCAGGGGCACCTTCCACTAGACCAGGTTGCTCCAAGCCCCATCCAGCCTGGCCTTAGGCACTGCCAGGGATAGGGCAGCCACTGCTTCTCTGGGCAACCTGTGCCAGGCCCTCACCAGCCTCACAGGGAAGCTTTTTTCCTAATGTCCAATCTAAACCTACTCTCTTTCAATTTGAACCCATTCCCTCTTGTCCTGTCACTACTGTAAATAGTCTTGCCCCATCTTTCCTCTAAGGTACTGGGAAAGGCCAAAATTAAGTCACCCCAAAGCCTTCTGTCTTCCAGGCTGAACAATCCCAATTATCCCAGCCTTTCATCACAACACAGGTGCTCCATCCCTCTGATCATCTTGGTGCCTCCTCTGGACTTGCTCCAACAGGTCCACTGTCCTTCCTATGCCCCAGTAGCACTGCAGGTGGGGTCTCACCAGAGCAGAGGGGCAGAATCCCCTCCCTCTGCTGCCCATCCTGTGGGATGAGCCCAGGAGACATTTGGCTTTCAAGGCTGTGAGTGCACATGGCTGGGTCGTATCTTGCCCACCATCACCCCCAAGTCCTTCTCGGCAGGGCTCTCCCTAAGCCCTCAGCGCAGGGAGCTGCTTGAAATCTCAGCTGGTTGATCCTATTGTGGTTTTTTGGAATCTCTGGTTGATCCTGCGGTAGTTTTATTGGAATCTCTGGCTGCTCCTGTGTGAACGCTGAGCCTCCTGAACTCTCTCTGCAGCGGGGGATGATGAGATCTCCTTTGACCCGGATGACATCATCACCAACATCGAGATGATCGATGACGGCTGGTGGAGGGGGGTCTGCAAAGGCCGATACGGGCTCTTCCCTGCCAATTATGTGGAGCTCAGACAGTGAGGAATATTGTCCACTGGTTATGCCTTAATTCCCCAGTCACATGACTTAATACACTACAGATCATGATGCTTTTTCTGAGGACAGAGGGGGGGTATATACACATATTGCTTTTATATTTAATACTTTGCTGATGCTTTTTAAGATGTTTATGCCACAGAAAATCGCTAATATATTGTAACAACTATGTTTCGTCACTAAGGCTCTTCAGATTATTTTCGTGCATTTGGGAATGTTCCTTCTCTGCCAAATTAGCAATTGTCATAAAAAAGCCTTTTGGAGGACAGTTAGTTTAGCTGTCTGTTGTGATATTGCATGTTTTACTCATAAGTGAGCAGTTTTACTTCAGCGTTTAAGTCTAGTTAGTCTTCCACTAAGTGTTTTCAGCTAAGAAAATCATTGCTATGCAGGTTATTTGCATTTCCACTAAGAGGGAGTGGGGAGGACTGGGGAGGTGCATAATTTTTTTTCTTTTCTTTTCCAGATAGTGCTTGAAAAAAACAAAGAGAATATTTGAAAGCTACAGCTAATAGTAGTTAATCCAATACTGTCCAGTATTTATGGAATATTAGTGTTATGAAGGAAACAGTCTGGTACTTTTTCCTTCTCTGTTAAAGTGAAGTTCCTTGGCTCTTGCATTGATATTTTTTTTCTCTCTTTTGTAATTATTTTTTCTTAATCCTGCTCCTCCTGCTCATGTTATCCCAGAGGAGGGCTGCAAACTCTCTAGCACTGATTGTCCCAAATTTCTTTACATTTTGTTTTTGCTTCACCCTTCTCTTTCCCAGGAAAACTTGGAAAAGTTACTACACGAGTGTTAAATCACTTAGCGAGATTCTTGCTTGTTCAAAAGGAAACTGGTATCCATGTCTGTGACTACCTGCAGGAATATTCTCATTGCTTTAAGTGGGAGAAAAAGAGGCAGGATGGGATTGCAGTTGTGTTCTGTGTGCAGTGCATCCATGTTCATACCAGGAATGGCCTGCTCTGCAGTAGTGACATTGTATGGTACCATATTGAAGTCAAGGAATGTTAAAATGTATAATTAGATTCAAAACCTATATAAACAGTCTGTCTTTTGAAACCATACAAGAGACAACTATACTTTTTGTATGTTCAACAGAAACTGCCAGTAACGTTCTACTTAACAACAAAATTAAAACTGGTTGTTTGGGTTTTTTTGCCAAACATGAAAATCTTGTCATTCTAGAAAGCTTACCACTGCAGATTTAGGGTCCCTACCAAAGATAGCAAGTTGCGTCTAATAGTGCACATGTTCAATATATGTACTTTCTGTTTCCACCTTCTGATCAAAAGGAAAATGGCAGAACTGGTGTAGCAGTTAAGAAAGAATGCAAAGAATTTTTATAAACTCTGAATTTGGACCAATGAAATATAGAAGACCTGTATAAAAATGGTAAAATGTGTAATGTGTCAAGGAAGAAGGCATCATGTTAACCAATTCTTGGGATGGTTGGGACAATCCTTAATGAATGTCATATGTGTCTCATGTTAATTATTTTTTTTTCTCCTTTCCATGGTTTCATTTTCTGTGTCGTATTTGCATTATTAGGGTTGGGTTTTATATGCAGTTTATTTTATCCAATTTTGCATAGAACACCTCATAGGGATATGATTTTTGTAAATTAAATATTCAATAAACTTTTTGAACCATTTGCATGGAATATTTTGTGTGTTTTTAAATTGCTTTGATAGTTCACCTTGTCTCAAGCTTATCTGGGACTGGTTTTGCTACAAGGAATTGTATTTCCTATGGAGAGCTGTGGTGAAGGCACCTATCCTTCTAGGTTGCTGCTGCCTTCCACATACTTCCCTTCCTCAAAACCCCATTTGCTTTGTCTTTTAATCCTTTTCCCATGTGGAAATATTTAGATCAAAATTAGACTTCAAGTGAACTTAAAGAAGAGATGCTTTATAAAATCTTTTTCTTAAGTATCTTAGCATCAGGCTCAGTTTTGTCTTTTGTGTGCCTGTTACTTCTGCTAGAAGTCCCAGTGAGTCATGGTTGTGGTGAGAAGAGTTGCTTAGGGAATACTGGTGGCAACAGGATGCTGAGTGCTACTGAAAACACAGCCTTACTTACAGTCAAATAAATTTTTACATCACTTTAAAGCTGTTTTGTTCTTGTTCATGACAGAGTAGGTGCTTCCCAAGGCTTTGCTCCTGTAAGCCTTGGCATCAGAAAGGTGTCCTGCCGTGCTGTCCATATTTTACAGTTTCTAATCCTCAGCTTCTCTGAGAATCTGGTACGCCTAAGAAAGAAAATCCCAACAGCCTTTTCCTAATCATTCATTAGTGCTACTAATTAACGGGAAACCCAGAGATTCAGTTCTCACTGCCACAAGTCCCAAAATACTGAGTGAGAGCAGATAACTTGAAAACACATAATTTGAGAAGACAATGTGCATGCATAGGTGGGCTTTGCACCAAAGGGGTGGTGGTGGGGTGTTGTTTAAGCTTTGTGTTGCTGAAGGCAGATTTGAGCGGTGAGGAGCCTGTTGGGGGGAGGCAGAGCCCCTGAGCCCTCCCTGGGCACAACTTGGTGGCAGGACAGGGCTGGAGCAGGGCTGCCAGAGCCATTGAAAGGCAAACAGGCCCTGCCTGGCAAGAAATGAGCTTCCAGCAAGGAGAGAAAAGCTCAAAGTGACCTCACTGTGGGCAAACTTCATAAGCAGCATCACAAGGAAAATACTGTGATCCTTTGTCAGAGAGTGAAATGAGGAAGAACCGAGTTATTGGAAGAACAAATTAGGTGACACTATCAGCAATATTAAGGGTATTAAGTTTTGGGAGCTTATTTGTGGATTACCTCACCTAATGGAGAAAACTTCATCTCTAAACCACTATCGTAACATGGCAAGATGTTGTATCCAGATTGAGATAATATCTTGTCAAGCATATTTAGGTATCAGCATTATGATTGTGCTGTTGCCACTAGGAGATTAGGAGTCAAGTCTTAAACATTTAAGATCACTCAGATTTATCAGTAGTTATCCAAAATGCTGCTGGAAAAAACCCCACTCCAAACTATCAGCATTTCCCATCAGCAGGGCTGGCTCAGCCCTCCTTTTGGGTAACTAATGCAAGCAGCAAGCAAGCCCATTAATTTCTGTTAATGGATTCTGTTACTGATTCATTGTCTGACTTTGGGTGAGCCATTTACTTTCCTGGCACCTTGAATTTATCATGTTACTGCTTAATGCAATCCTGTTGTCGCTGGGGTTCAGCTGACAGGAGGCAGCAGCAGCACTGATTTTATTCACTGTCTAATCAATTGATTTTACACTTCTGAGTATCATTCTTCCAAATTATAATTAAGCACATAGTAGGAACAATCAATGAAGTATTTGTATATAAATATTTTAAAATATTTCATTTGCCTATTTCTATAATTGTTAGCAACAATAAACAGAGAAAGACAGAGTTTGAAAAGCTATTACATGGGAGGTGGAGAAATTCTCAGTCATGAGATACCCTTGACTGTTCCATGTTGCTGGTAGCTGTTGATTTTTAATGTAACTAGATTTTCAACAGCAGGAACAACCAGATTTTTGACTCTTAACCAATGAAGAGGAGCAGAGGCAGGAGAAATTACCCGGAAATCCTCTGAAGAAGTGGTTTGGCTTAGATAAAATGCACACCAGCAAATTTTCACCTTGCATGTGGTCTGTACATCCTCTGCATTTTTTTCCCTGTGCCAGTTGACCTTCCAGCTTCAGTCATCTCAGGATATTCTAGTTTTTAGGTGCCTTTTCTATCAAGTAGAGTAAATGCTAGTTACCAAGGATATTTATCTGAAGCCCCTACTTTTAGATGAGAGCTTTGCAAATGCAGACTTAAAGCCCTCTATGATTTTCTGAGACCCTTCAGTCTATAACAGAGACTTTCAAAGTGCAACTCACGGATGTTTAATACTCCACCAGCAAGTCAATTCCTGGTGGTATGAAGTTGAAGAACTGCTGTTTCATGTAGTCAATATTCACCTTGCTGCAGGCTTTCTATGTTATAGATTCTGGCTGCAATAATACAGGCATGTCCATATCCAAGTATCAACAGAATGCCAAGATTGTGGTGCCTAATTTGTACTAAATTTGAAAGAAGCTTCTTCAAATTCCCCTCACATTGAGCCCATTGCTTCTCTCTTGATTTACAGAAGCTGCTCTAAAGTTACTTGGCAAAGGAGAAATTGATATATTTAGTCCATGGAAAGAGGAAAGAAGCAAAAATTGATCTCAACCATGCAATGCTAAGTGTCCAGAGCACTGCCTTGGATGGCTTCCGGAATTTGAATTGATCAAAATAGCTTTACTTGATACATTTGTCCTAGGAGCTGAGACAGAAAAAGGAGCAATACATCTTCAGCTGTCTGGGGAGTGCCTTGCATGCAGCAAGGGAGCCCTAAAAAGAGGTGCCTAGTGGTCTAATACAGCTTGCCACAAAACCAGGGTTTGATGGCTTTGTGGAGTCAGGCAAAATTGATTAAACAATTACTTTTAAGTAGCCAAAAAAAAAAAATTAATCAGCTATTTCAGCTATTTCCATTACCCAAGGCCACTGAAAATGGGGCACTGCTTGCAGGGAATGGAATTTCAAATACCCTCTTGTATTTGAAATGGCTGCACACCTAAATGGTCACCTAAAGAGATGGTGGCACTTCAGAGTTAAAAATACCTTCTTGTTAGCATTAAGAGCAGGCATGAGGCCAATCTGCTCCACAAAGGCTCCAAAAATCACACAGCTCTGTGGTTAGATGCCTTCACCTCTCCTCTTTCTGCAGAGAAAGGAGGCTGGCCAAGTCATAACCACAGAGCTGAAGGGTGGGTTTTGGTGTCCTTGTCCTCCCAGCTGCTCAACTCAAAGCCCAGGGGATGCCTACAGCTGTTCTGGCTAACATAAACTTCTAGCAGAATTCTCACCATAAAACAAGATGATGGTCCTCAGAGAGTTGGGCTCACATGACTTCCCAGGTCAGCCTTTTCAGTTTCAAATTCCAGATTTTGGCTTCTAGAAGTTTCAAGCAGCGCAGCAAAAGTGCAAAAAAGTCAGAGATGCTGAAATGAAAAGCTAAAGAAGATTCTTTAATTCTCTAGACAGCAAACTCCACTGCAAGAGCAGGAGTCCTAAATGAAGAGTAAACATCAGGCTAATGGCAAGTCAGGAGCTGGAGCATTGCTGAGAATTGGATAGTCTTTTAAAAGGTTTGTAAGGCCTACAAAAGCTTTAGAGAAATTATGCAATTTGCTGTCTTGCCTACACAGTGCAGTAATTATTACTACGAGTAATTATTGGCCTTTTCTTTGAAAGCAAAGCATGTGACAAACTAAACTTCAGGTGGGTCAGCAAAAGTACAAAGACACTCTTAAAATAGCCCTGGGCTTTTTGTTGAATCTTGGACAGGAATCAGCATTTGCTCAGAATTTGGAAGAGAAGGAGCTGTTCTCTGCCAGATCCAGAGCGGGGCCAGAGCCCAGGAGGAGCTCTTTTTTTCATGGAAAATTTCATCCTTTCAACCACCACTAACAGAGCTCTTGTATTTCATGACTGAACCACAAAGAGCCAAGTCACCCTAAATAAAACAAAGTTAAGCACCTTTATAATGCAAGGTCAGCCAACATTTCCTTGTCTGCTATGCTGAGGGATGGCAGGAGAGATTAGTTCTGCAGTCAGGTGCTGTTTCCCAGGTGCTTGTCATCTTCTCCTTGCCCCACCTCATCCCCTTACTGATTTTCTTCAGCAATGTGTGTTCATTTAACCTCCACAGTGCCAGGTGATGACATACTCATTTACATTTTTGCTGTTTCTAACACTATTAATAATATTGCTGTTAGTCAGACAGCCCTGGCCTCTGACCTGTGCACATCACAGCCTGTAAGTGTTTGTAGCTTTATGCTCAAATTGAAGATTGATCATGATTTAATTTAATTTAGAATTATTTAATTATTTAAAAGTCATGTAGATGTGGTGCTTGGGGACATGGTTTAGTGGTGGGCTTGGCAGTGCTGGGACAATGGTTGGACTTGGTCTTAGAAGGCTTTTCCAGCCTAACCCATTCTGGGACTATTCCCAGGCACATAGGGTGCTATTACCACTTCTGGTAAAATATAAACTACTGCATGTATCATCTTACCCTGAATTCATCTATATGCTAGCTACAGAAAAAAATCTTAATTAACTAAGCCTGTCACTGCTCTGGCACAACAGTGTTAATGTGGTCAAAAAAGCATTGATAAAAACAAAAGCAATCAAAACCTTTCTTACTGTAGCAATATACCCAAACTCAAATACAGCCTGGGAGTATCTCAAGTTGATAATAACATTTCTTTACTAAATATTGGGTGCTATTTCTATTGCAGCCTGGAAACAGATTCTCCATGGGCTTGTTCTACCTGAGTCTACTAATTTTAAAATTGCATTGCTGTTAATTTGGGTTTGAATAACCTTTTTCTTCTGTAAAGCCTTGATGTTAGTTTTGGCCTTTGGTTTTTCTAGCTGATAACTACAAACAAATCCTTACACTGAAGTTGTAAGTATCTGTCATAGGTTTACTTGTTCTAAAAAAGCAAGCAGGGAATTTTTCTTTCCCCTCCATTGCTGTAAAAGAAAGATTTTAAATGAGGGAGGGGGAAGGTGTTTGCCTAGGGTGATTGGCACACAC